AGCCTGACCACCCGATCCCGTTAGTCGCCTTTTACGACAAGCATACACTCTCGGGGTCAAAAGTGTTTCCGCAAGATGGCGGACTGCGATGTTTTGAAAAACTCGCCTCACTTGTTCATATATAGATTTGTGGTTATTAAAACAAAGGTACGTACCTGATTGTATTAGAACTTTGATATACATCCATTTACTCTGTAAACCTGACGTATTCTGAATGGAATAGACATGTATAGTGCTCGTATGTAGGCTTGAGAAAAGGAGGACCAGATGTCCTGAACAACTCGAATAAGTTCATCCCTGTTATTTATCTCGTGCACTCTTTCTCCAAATAACGACTTTCCTATCTTTCCCCAACACAATCTGCGTCTCATCAGTAAAAATAACACGTTTCCAATGATTATCAACAGTTTGATGAAGTCTTGAACGACACCATGCCCGCCTCCGAACCCGATTACGCTTCGATACGACAATTTTCTTCTTTACAACTCTCTTTTGTAACCATACAATTTCAAACGTCTTTTAACTTATGTCTCAGATATTGTTGTTTGGGCCTGAGCATTCAAAAGTCCTGTTTTGTCCTTTAAAATATTCCTGCGATGACCTTTCACTATCCGTAAAAGTTGGCGATCCGAACTTACGTAACATTTTGTTGGCCGACCACTTCGAGGTGTGTTCTCCAGAGATACACGGTCTTTATGTCGTTTGAGAAATTTCGTAATGGTAGAAGGATTAATTTTCAACCTTTCAGCAATTTATCGGCCACTTACTCCATCATTTGACATTTGTACAATGATTTCTTTTACATGTACCGGCAATTCTTTCCGCTTGGTTGCCATTGCTAAGCAGACGACAAAAATAACAAAAGAGGGGGTAATTCGGGTTACTTCCCTTATCAGATTTATCGGTGTTGACCCACTTAACATCCCCATTTCAAAAGATCCGTCATGAATCCGTTTAGTAATTATTTATAGAGAGCGGAAAACGCGAAGCGGTTGTAAATCATATATTCGGCTGCCATTGTGTGGAAAAACTTGTTTGGCCTTTGGATGAAGTCACCTTTTACGGCAAGCATGGGTTGATGAATACCTTTTCTACCCCGGAGTCTTCACGGGTCTGTTGTTATTTGAAAGGGATTGAAAATGGCATAATCGGTTATTTATTTGTGAAATATTCAGAAATTATTAACTACCACGGGGAATTACGGTTAAAACTAAGGTACAGCAGAAAGGTAAAGTTACTGCTTTTGAATAATCTCAGTTGATTTCTATTGGCTGATAAAAGTATTTGCCAAAAATAACACCATTGTACGGAAGCCTTTTAGGGCCAATTGTTTTTTTAATTTTTTTCGATACTATCTTGAAATTTCAAGATTATTCACTTCAAACGTATTTTTACATCTTAGGATGTTAAAAACTTATCTTGAAATTTCAACTTTGTATCTTAAAATTTCAAGAAAGTATCTTGAAATTTCAACTTAGTATCTTGAGTTTCAATATAGTATCTTGAAATTTCAACTTAGTATCGAAAAAAATTAAAAAAACAAATGGCCCTAAAAGGCTTCCGTACCATTGACATCATACTGTTAGTAAATGAAATTTATCTCTGCTGGTTTTTTTGAGACTGTCATACTTTAAGGTTTCTATTTTTCTTTCAGGTGGCGTTTACAGTATTGTGGAGGCATATTTTTAAAGTACATCACAGCCAGAAAGGTATGCATGATGCAATAATATGTACAAACATCTTCAATAATAAAAATTTAGATGTGCTGTGCAAAGTTTGATATTGATATGTATATTTTCTGAACAAATGTGATTCTTTAAATGTTTTTTTAACTAAGAATATTTCTTTTTATTTCAACCTTTGTGCGACCTATCACTTGAACACTACTTCATGGATTCTTTTCCAATTAGGGGTACAGTTTATATACCCATAGAAAAAGTGCAGTGCGATGTTTGGTTTTGATTGGTGTATTTTCTAAGAAAATATAGCTTTTTTCATGTTTTGAACTTAGAATATTTTTTACTTCAACAATTGTGCTACCTATAACTTGAGAACTACTACATGGATTCTTTTTATATATTAATTGGCGAGGTTGATTTTGATATGTGTATTTTATGTTTTGAACGGCAAAGGTTGATTTTGATATGTGTATTTTATGTTTTGAACTTAGAATGTGTTTTTTTTAATTCAACTTTGTGTGACCTTAAACTTGAGAACTACTGCATAGTTTCTTTCCAAATTTAAGAAACTGTTTCTATAGTACTAATCGAAGAGGTACAGTGCAAATGTTGATTTTGATATGTGTATTTTCAGAAAAAAAAAATGATTTGTTTCATGTTTTGAACTTAGAATTATTTTCTTCAACATTTGTGCGACCTATAACTTGAAAACAAATACATGGATTTGTTTCCAATTTGGAGTAGTTTCTATACCAATAGGAGAAGTGCAGTGCAAAATTTGATTTTGATAATTAAGTTTTTTCCATGTTTTAAACTTTAAAAAATGAATGAGTCGTTACCCTTGTTCATTTCAGTGTTAACAGCTTTTCTGCCTATGTATGATCCAAGAGCATTATGGCATTACTGTTCATGCTACCTTCCCAGTTTTAAACAGTTTTATGACTTGGAGGGGTGGAGGTAGCACTGCTGAGCATTTTTTCAGACATCAAATTATTATTTGGGGGAAGGCAACAATTTTTTTATGTGAAAAATATGTCCCCTGCCTTGCCATTTTTATTATACCCCGACCTTTTAGTGAGGGGGTATATCGTTATACCAAGGTTCTGTCCGTCCGGCCGAAACTATGTCCGTGCGATTTCTCTGAAACTATTTAGTGGATTCATCGCAAACTTAGTACATATAATCTGTTTCATATGGAGGGGTTCAGTCAAAAGAATTTTTTATTTTTTATTAATTTTCCATTTTTTATTAATTTTTCAAACCCTAACCCTATCCATTTTCTAATGACACAGAGTGACTTCCATCACGCATCTCACACAGTGCAAGTTGAGCGTGATGGACTGGTTCTACAGCCACCTCTACAAACTCATGCTGTATCTGTAGATTGGAAATGTTTTTTTCAGATCCCTCTCCTATGTGTTAACTGGAAGTCAAGAGCAACATGGAGAACTACGAGCTCTGGTGGTTTCACACATAACGTCAATACAGGGTCACGCGTGGCACTATTTTTAAGCTATTTAAATTGAAACTACTGACACACTAGGCGAGTCGGGGGTATTAGTGAGCCTAGCTCATTTTTGCCCTTGTTATATTTGTGTCATTGTTTTATTCAGTTACCATGGCACAAGGAGAGACCATGGATACATTTGAAGATCATCCCTGTGATAAGTTCTTCTGACTCTACATCTGAGGATTGAAAGAAAAGGCTCCTAAACCACTCAGCTCAGGTTCTGACTTGTCATTTAACAAATTAATAAAGGTCACCGAAACCAGAATTCTATTGTCATTTTGTTGCTGTCATAATATCTTTGAATGGATCAAGGATATGGATCATACATGATAGGACATCCGATGCATGGACTCTTTTGCTTGTCTCAGCGTTGCTCATCAATGCTGAATGTATGGGGTAAGGCCAAGAAAAATTAAATGTTTCAATGTATGCCCTCTTATTGTCTGATGGTTTTTAATTTGCAAACTCGTGGGGAAAATCATATATCTTTTAGTAGTGTTGAAAAATTTGTGAACAATATGCACATAGTCTTGCAAATTGTTTTGGAAAGTAAATATTATATCACCAAATTGTACATGTAATTTTAAAACATTTTTATTTTTTTCTTGGCCGTATTTCAATAGTATAAACTATGTATGCCGAGGTACCCTGCCAGAAGAGAGCGCATTTCATTGGCATGCTCTTTCATGGATAGAGTTTATGGTGAATTTAGCTTGCAGAACGTATTGCTTGTTACCTGATGTCTTAACTAGATTGGTACAAACATTTCAGGCTGCCAGGGAGGTAGTGAGGAATAAAACAGGCGTAATCTAACGTTTCGGCCAACGTTGGCTCAAAGTCATTTTGACCGGCGGCCCAACGTTGGCAAAGAAAAGTTGACCCAACATTGGGCCAACGATATTCAGCCAACGTTGGGCCGCCGGTCAAAATGACGTTGGGCCAACGTTGATGCCCAACGCTGGCCCAACGTCTGACTGCTATCTGGGGTCAGACGGGAGCGTCTCTATGCATTAGAGGAGGTGTTTGAATGTTAAAATGTCACTTACAAAGAGATTCACAACGGCAGAATTAATTGGTTTTGTTTTGTGTTGTTTTACGCCGCACTCAGCAATATTCCAGCTATATGACGTCGGTCTGTGAATTATCAAATCTTGCCAAGACAATCCGATGATTGATATCCATAAACATCGATCAACGCAATTGGGATCGATGACATGCATCAACCAAGTCAGGGAGCCTGACCACCTGATCCCTTTAGTCGCCTCTTACGACAAGCATAGTCACCTTTTACGGCAAGCATGGGTTGCCGAAGACCTATTCTACCCCGGATCTTCATGGGTCATGTGAGATTTTGAGCTTTTGGAAAATTGTCAAACTTTATTATAACCAGTTTTCGAACTGTGGAGTTTGAATTGTTAACCTAATTAGCAAACATCAATGATAGGAATATATTCTCTGCAGGCTTGTGGCCTAGCTTGCACTGAATTATATGACAGAAATGACCCTATACCCTGACCACGCGGTAATGTACGTCAATCCTGATGTGGAAGGCTTTTATTGCTTAAATGTAAATATCATGTATAACTTTTGGTAGTCACGATATGGCTGAAATTCTGCCGATGTGACTATAAATTTTAACTCACTCAATCCTGATGTAAAAGTGTGTTTCTTTTTATTTATTTTTCAAAACGAAAAAAGGAAGAAAAAAATAAAATTAAAAAATAAATTTCCACACCTCTTACACAAAAACAGTTTTATTCTCAACTAAACACATTTTGATTTCAATAATCATTTTTTAATGTTTCTAACTACCATCGACGATGAGCACGTGACACGATATTAAATGTATGAACGAAGGACTGTTCCCGGCACACAGCTATAGAGCCATCACCAGACAGTCACGGGAAGGCAGGGGTGGTCAGCTGAGCCATGTGTCGGGTGGACAGGTCACGGTTACCCCCGCGGGGGTATGGTGTCGAGGAATTGCAGTTCGGTGATGCTGACGCCGTTGGTGATGATGAGGTTCTCTGTCCTGCTGGCGGGCGAGATGTACAGGTAGTCGTACAAGTGGATGCCGTCAAGGACAATCTGGAACAGGGTAGTTTCATGTCTCGGCTTTAGTCATTACAAATAGATATTAATCACTGGATTGTCTGGTCCAGACTCGATTATTTACAGACCGCCGTCATATAGCTGGAATATTGCAGAGTGCGGCGTAAAACAACAAACCAACCAACAAATAGACCCCTGGTACGGGTACTTGCAGTACTGACTTGTCATAGTTTGCCAATGAAGAGAAGCGGGACATATTTGTATCGGAGCCGGGTGTGTACGTGTCTGTGGGTGCGTGCGTCTGGTCAGCTAAATTTTGGGTGGAAAAACAACGTCCGACTTTTCATTAGTAATGTTGCTGACAAAACAAACTGAACTGTTGTTCTTTGTTTGTTCTTTGACACCGCAGTCAGCAATATTCCACTTATATGACCGCGGTCTGTGAATAATCGAGTTTGGACCAGAAAATCAAGTGATTGATATCATGAGCATCGATCCACGAATTTGGGATACGATGACATGCATCAACGAAGTCAGCGAGCCGGACGAACTGATCCCGATGGTCGCCTTTTACGACAAGCGTAGTCGCCTTTTACTGCAAGCATGGGTTGCTGAAGAAACACACTGAACTCTGCGATGAGCGGTAATACAAAGGGAAGCAACTCTGCAAAGCAAATTACTTACCGCCCATGACATGGACGTTCAATAAATAATACACTATGTAAATTATATATGCATTTTTAGAAAAATGTCTGTGAGGTATACTTACGGACATTGTGTGATTAAACAAGCAAATCTAAAAGATCATGTCTTACTGCATATTTATCTGCGTGAAACTCCACGAGAAGTGAGAACAATGTGTTGACTTTCATTGGAGGGTTCATAATCTGTTTCGAGAACAAGACATTATTCAAGATGGCGGTCTTGAAGGTGAGGGTGGAGTCACCAGCTGCTCCCACGTGGAACTCGACCATCAGCTGTGCCTCGGACCCAGCCCGGAGGTCAAACCAGAAACTGAAATTAGACATGGGGACATAAAACGATTATTTCCAGATGGGCAGAGCCCCCCAACGAAAGTTGTGATTTGCTGAAATTGCACACATAGCTGACCAAAGACGAGAGAGCTGAAATAATACATTCGCACAGAAAACTAATTGCTGTGGCCTCCTGAGAAGACCTTACAGATTGTTTGTTGGTTTGTTTGTCGTTTTACGCCGCACTCAGCAATATTCCAGCTATATGACGGCGGTCTGAAAACAATCGTGTCGGGACCAGACCATCCAATGTTTGACATCATGAGCATGGATCCACGCAATTGGGATACAATGACATGCATCAACCAAGTCAGCGAGCCTGACCACCCGATCCCGTTAGTCGCCGTCATATAGCTGGAATATTACTGAGTGCGGTATATAAATATATTTAATAATAATAAAAATAAATTATAATAATAAATAGCTTACTAAAATAGACTAATGAGTGAGGTTTATCACCGCTTTGAACAGTATTTCTTTTTTCCAATTATTATTATCACGGCGTGTCACCTTGATGTGTTTGGACACAAAAGTGAGTTGGGTTTAACGCCGCTTTTAACAGTATTCCAAATATATCGCGGCGTGTCAGCTTAATGTGGGTGGTAAGCCCGAAGTGATGAAGATCTAGGGCATTTACCACTTTTGTGAAACCCACGAGCACGGGTATGGTGCTGACAAACCTAGAAATTAATCGGGGCGAACCGGGATTCGAATTGCGGCGCCTTACACCACTGGGCCACCCGTGCTTCCGGGTGATGGAGGGACATATATAGTGTAGGGAAAAAAAATCCTGAGTTATTGGCGATGACAATAATCATGGTGTCGGGAGGACAAGCCTGCCCAGGAATCCCTATTGGAGACAGACCCCTAGGAGAAAATACTCACCTGTTCGCTGTTGAGGCTTTTAGTTTAATGGCCATCCCGTCGACCAGTAGGCATGGAGGAGGGTAGAGCATGGGCTGGAACAGGCATGTAAATGTTCAGGAAAATTCTTACACTCGTTTCGGGTTCGTTAAATGCTAACCATCCATGCCCTTTATAACGCCCCAATGCGTCGCGTAACGTACGACGCCTCCTCATTGCGCGGACAATCTCTCACCAATGAGAAGGAGTCCGGTTACCTTACCCGGACGCTCTCTCACGACACAGCGCATCAAGCCGAAGAGCTAGCCATCCCTCCTCCTCTAATGAGTGAGTAAGATGGGTTTAACGCAGATTTAAAGTGTATTTCAGCTATTCCATGGCGGGTCAGCTTCATGAGACGAATTTTTTTAAAGCCCGAGGTGATACAGGTCTTAGATGTTAAATGTTTTTGTTGAAATGCATGAGCAGGAGTATGGAGCTGACAAATCTTGAAACATAATCAGGGCGAACCGGGATTCGAACCTTTTAAAAGTAGAGCCATGTAAATTAAATATTTATTTCACATACTAGTACTTAAAGTTCACAGGCCTATCGTACATTACAAATTGTCCAGTAGTGAGTGTCTTGCATTACAAACAAACTTTTATGCCACAGATTTTCTAAAATTCATAGCCTGAAATATATACATTGATAAGTTTAGCAAATGTATAACAATGTTTGTTGACATAAATAAAGCTATATAGATAAGGAGAATGGCTAAACTTATTGAAATACTTACATCGTGGCTCCGAATATGTTGGGCAAACAAAAACAAAATGGTATTCGTCGTCTACGCTGTTTAAGTTTAAACTGACAAATTCTGTTTTCACGTGGAATACCTGTATATCTTGTATAAATTGTGAATGAGTGAGTATTGTTTTACGCCGCTTTTAGCAATATTCCAGCAATATCACGGCGGGGGTCACACATTGTACCCATGTCGGGAATCGAACCCGGGTCTTCGGCGTGACGAGGGAACGCTTTAACCACTAGGCTACCCGACCGCCCCGTCTCAATAATAACAACGGAATCTTGCAATTTGTACTCAGAATTTACGAACGTTTACATTTATTAAATATTTTTCAGTAAGAAAACGCTTCTTAAACAAAGAATAGCACGTTACTTTACTGGACCAGAAAAAAGACGCATGCCAATTCTAAGTGATCATGTCCTTTAAGGTTTGCGAAAAACATTTAATAACGTTACAGGAAAAGAATTACGGCAATAAACATGACCCTGTATAGTTTTGTTGTTTTTTTTATCAGGACAGAACTGTTGATTTAAAACGTCTAATTGTCAAAATATCAAAAGCAGGTTTTGTGGTCGTTTTACTCTCAGTCTGCATAACAAACTATTCAAAATACCAACCATGGGTAACTTTGGTACGTTCGTCCATCTGTAGCGTTTGCAGATCTGGTCTGGTCCCACTAACCACTGACCATCCTTGCCACACGTGACCTTGTCGTCGGCGCTGCAGAATTTGTAGTCTTGGACGCACTGCAGAGAGGCCACGGAGCCCACCGTCGTGTCGCTGCCGGTGACGTGAGAGCTGGGGACGGTGGTGACACTGCACGTCGCGCTGAGTCCGGGAGAATCTGCCGGTAAAAATATGTCATTCGGCATGACTCGTGTCTTTCCGGTACAATCCTAGTGGCGTCTCATTCTGCTGATATAATGTCGACTGGTTCCGTCATAGCACAAGAGGTGTGGAACGATGCCTTTATTAATATGCCTTCTTTATTACGTCGTTAAATAGAAACGAAACTTATGGAGATATGAACCTGGATATAAGCGTGATTGCAAACACATTATCCACGTGCCTAAAAGTATCCTGCTGCACATTAGTGAAGACTGCTGTCAAACAACAAACAAACAAACACATTAGTTAAGACACAACAGAACTCTGAGATAATACCAATATAATCTCCATTCTAATTTTGGGCTGGTGGGTTAGCCTTGTGGTTCAAGTGTTCGCTCGTCACCCTGATGACCATGGTTCGATCTCCCACATGCCTCCAATATCCGTCTTAAACTATTCCAGAGACCAATAAATCATTAAATCTGGGCCAGACAAACCAGTGATAGATATAATGAGCAACACCCCACACCGTCGGTGTACGACGACACGTAATCAGTCAAGTCACCATACCCGATACACCCAGTAACCTCATCTGACAAGCAAGAGAGCCAAGCATCTATTCAAACCGACGGCGGCGACATTACAGCAACATCTAACAGTTCAAAATAGGTTTCATACATTGTACCAAAGTCAGATTCAAACCCAAGATATCGGCTTGACGAGAGAACACTTAACACCAAGGCTACCCTACTGCCCGAACCTTGCAAGTAGGTCAAAAGGAGGAAAATTGATATATATTCGATCATTATTAAAATAAAAAAATAAAAATAATAGTAATGCTTGTCGTAAAAGGCGACTAACGGGATCGGGTGGTCAGGCTCGCTGACTTGGTTGATGCATGTCATCGATCCCAATTGCGTGGATCGATGCTCATGAAATTTATCACTGGATTGTCTGGTTCAGACTCGATTATTTACAGACCGCCGTCATATAGCTGGAATAATGCTGAGTGCGGTGTTAAACAACAAACCAACCACCAACCAAAAAAAATATCATTAAGTTTAGAAATAATGACGTCGTGGAAGTTTTTTTCCCTACTCTTTGGGAAGGCCTGCAGGTCCCTGAGATGGTAGTCTTGGAGGATGCTGATGTGCGTCATCTTGTCGAGACTGACGGGCGACGTATACGTGTGCTCCAGCTTCCCATCCACGTAGATCTATGTACACACAAATAACTATCAAGTGAGTTGACAACACATAAATAAAGGTTGTACACAAGTTTGTTTTGGTATGGTGAAACATTCGTCTCGTCTCAGTCCAAGAACCCACGCCAGAACCTACATAAATCCATACTGGAACTGCAGTTTCGTGCACTTGACTATCAGATGACCACAAAGAGGCGGCATTTTTCAAATTGTCAAAAACTCAAAATGAACTCCTAATTTCTGTAGGCACAGATCCACTTGTCTGCAAAACAGCTGTTATGTGAACAACATGCACCGCGTCATAAGGTTAACAGTGATTGCAGTGTTTCGACTCCGTTGTTGCCATTCGTGAACAACTCGTGTTATTCCGTCCGGGACAAGCCGAATAGCGACTCGTGCCCCTCTCCATTCGTCACCACTCGCCCCTTTCCGTAACCTGCAAGAAGACTCGTCCCCCTATCGATAAATGTTATGTGCGAAAATACGACAAACCAATCAGAATGCGCGTATGATTTCAAGTTCTTTGTCAAAGAATCCCTCAGAAATAATTTCTGTTTTTACATATGTCTTGCATCTAAAAATATACCCAAGACACAGTTAAATGTGTTCAATCATACTGTATAATTTCGCATGTCCTGATGTGCTTTTCATTGCATCTGAAATATAAATGATATATGGGGAAATATATGTGAACCATTGCGCAACGAGTTGACAGTTGTATTAGGTATGCCCGTTTGCGCTAAGACGGAACCCGGTTGCAAAAATGGCCACGAGAGGGGCACGAGTCGCTATTCGGCTTGTCCCGGATTAACAAGAGTTGGTCACGAATGGCCCCTCTCATGGCTATATTTGCGACCGGGTTCCGTCTTAGCGCAAACGGGCATACCTAAAACAATTGTCAATTCGTTGCTAAATGGTTCACATACATTTCCCCATATATAACATATATTTCAGATGCAATTTAAAGCACATAGGGACGTACGGAATTATACAGTATGATTGAACACATTTAACTGTATCTTGGGTATATTTTTAATTGCTAGACATATGTAAAATCAAAAATTATTTCTGAGGGATTCTTTGACGAAGACCTTGATATCATACGCTCATTCTGATTGGTTTGTCGTATTTTCGCACATAATATTCATCGCTAGGGGGACGAGTCTTCTTTCAGATTACGGAAAGGGGCGAGTGGTGACGAATGCCTTGTTGCCAGAGGTATGATGTAATCAGCGGAATATTCCGAGTGGATAAGAATAACTCCTGAAATAAACTAAGTGTGCCGGAAAGGCCATCCTGGTTGATGAGGCGAATTAACAAAATTTCTAAGCTGTGGAATCGCAAATCTAGGCATCTGCGTCTTGTCCTAACTTATAGCTCTATAACTTATTATACATCAAACCGCCGTGATATAAATGGAATATTGTTTAAAGTGGCGTTAAACACAACTCACTAACCCACTTCTATTATGTTCTATACATAAGAAGAAACGACAGAGAATCAAACCTTGTAGGCCCCTGCTTCATAACCAATGACGATGTGGGACTCTTTGTTGACAGCGAAAGGGAAGCTTCCGATTGTCTCAAGGGGACCTCTGGTTCCACCCTCAGAATGTGTGGCCGAGAATGTCCGAGCGTTGAAGTCTATGACGAGCTGGATACTTCTTGAAGATGACCCCGACAGTTCGATCTCTACTCTAGACGGCAGAATAAACAAATCAGTAATAATCAACAGAAGTGTATGGATTGATCGATCTATCGCTAACATGTCATCGCCCTTAGGCGATGGCAGTTTACAATGTCAAAATGCAACATCGATATTGTCGTAAATATTGAGAGACTGAAGAATGTGAAGAAATATGAAATCGTTGATATATTTGTCCAAGACAATAATGAGAGGCACTGGAATTCCCAAAAGCATCCTTGGTATATGTTGCTGAAACTGGGAAATAGCGGGACAAAACATTACAACCATCCTACTATCGCGATACAAGGATGCCAATGACAACATTTCCCGCCATATTAGACTCTTTTAATCATGAATATTGATAATTATCAGATCACATTCAGATGATGTCACAAAAAAACATCATTTGATCTCAGCGATAGAAAGGACGTAAATTTGTTGTATTCAAATCGGCGAAACAAACACTTTACTATATATGCCCTTCACTATCACCATACTAGTTATAATGACAGTCTGTTATAAAAATTCGAACCAGCACCTGTTAGTACAGCTCAAACAGACGCCACGGAGAACAGTGGGATCCTTCTCAACGCCTGTTCCTCATGACACACGTGACAAACAATAATGACAATCTTCGTGATCATTATATTAGGCCGTGACCATCCGGGGTAGAATAGGTCTTCAGCAACCCATGCTTTCCGTAAAAGGCGACTGTGCTTGTCGTATGAGGCGACCAACGGGATCGGGTGGTCAGGCTCGCTGACTTGGTTGATGCATGTCATCGTATCCCATTTGCGTGGATCGATGCTAATGATGTCAATCACTGGATTGTCTGGTCCAGACTCGATTATTTACAGACCGCCGTCATATAGCTGGAATATTGCTGAGTGCGGCGTAAAACAACAAATGCTATATATCAGGATATAACAGGAACAAAATGGCTGTTAAATTTGGACTTAAAATGAATTCAGGTCAGGTTGGTTGGTTGGTTGGTTTGTTGTTTAACGCCGTGATATCACAGAAATACTGTTAAAAGCGGCATTAAACCCAACTCACTCACTCCTTATAAAACAGCATTACTGTTACAATGTCTTTGGACATTCTTGTTGAGGGAAACAGTCTGTAACCGTTATTTTGAAGTTAAAGTGACACAAGATGTGATGCAGGACAAACGCTTGCTGAAACGAAATCGCACTTCATCACACTACACTGATCTATCCTGTCCATAAACGAGGTTGCAGTATACTGAGGGTCAGTTGTACAGTTTGTTCACTTACGGATTGTCCGGGTTTGTGGGCGTGATGTACGCCGAGATGAGTGACCCTTCACCCATGAAACATGGCAGGTCCATGGTGGTAGTGTTGGGACCTCTCTGTAACGGGAAATAACATACTGAGCTGTCCAGATCCTAAGCGTAAAAACTTTGCGATATACTCCCCAGGGAGTTGAGAATGATAACTGGAATGCAAACGGATTCATTGGTCGGGGAACAAATAAAACGGCATTTGAGCAGATACTAGTACCCGGATACCTGCGGTATATAAATGTACAATAAATTAATATAACAAACGTGAATCTCTGTCACAAATTATGTGTGCACGTGGTATTGAAGATAAGCGGGCTCATGATCTATCTATGGAGTGAGTGAATGAGTGAGTGAGTGAGTAGGTAAGTGAGTGAGGACGTTTTATCACGGCGTTTCAGGTGCTGGGATGGTGTTGACAAACCAAGAAACATAATCAGCGTGAACCTGGATTCGACCCATGATCAAAGGCTCCTGGGACACCTAGGAAACACAACTCCCCTCAGACAACTGCAGCGTCTTAGACGACTGGGTCACCCGTACCAAACGAGATCATGCCTTGTCATTGTGAGTGAGTGAGTATGGTTTTACGCCGCTTTTAGCAATATTCCAGCAATATCCCATGTCGGAAATCGAACCCGAGTTCAGCGTGACTAGCAAACGCTTTAACCACAAGGCTACCCGCCCGCCCCTATTATCAATAGACTTTCTTAACACTTCTTCTCAAATAGGCTTAAAGTGGACGTACGGGTGTTTGAATAAAGCATATCAACCAGCTCAACAGATATAGGTGCTCTGCCCTGGGTGAATGAATAACGAAACCACTGTACTTTCGACGATGTGTGTGTGTGTGTTGGGGGGCACGGGTGGCCCAGTCGTCTTAGGCGCCGCGATTCGCTGTGCACAATTTTGTCCCTTGGGCACGCCAGAAACCTATGACTGTGGGCTCGAATCCCGGTTCGCCCCGATTATGTTTCTAAGTGTGACAGCACCATACCTGTGCTCGTTGATTTCACCGAAGTGACAAACGTCTCAGACCTGCATCACTTCGGGCTTTCGTCCAACATTAAGCTGACATAATATAACTGGAATACGCAATATAACTGGAATACTGTTAAATGCGGCGTTAAACCCAACTCACTCACTCTCTCGACGATGTAGGTGCAGTATTCATTCGCGCGGTACTGATAATACGTTCTTACCCCACTGGTAATTTTGTTCTTCTGACATGTTCCCTGTACTTGTGACGTAGGTACGCCCTTCTCACATCTCGATAAGGAACTCTCTCCGCAGAAAATGTAGTTCTCATCGCATGAATACTCAGTAATAGCTACCGAGTCAACGTGGCTATGCCGAACTACTTTCAGTGGCGGAGACACTTCCGGTCGAGGACATGCTTCGCTAAGACTGTGCCCTTCATCGCTATCCCCTTGCAACAAAATTATTAAAAATATTTTCTTGGAAATGCAACTTATTGTATAAACTCGTAACATTTTTATTACTACTACTGCTGCTACTAATAGTACTAATAATAATAATAATAATAACCATCTGAAAACGCGGAGGTATGTAATTGTGATTTGAAACCGTTGAATCAGACTCGAAAGCTATGTGATTGTGATTTAAAACTGTTAAATCAGTGTTCGAAAGCTATTATAGAATTTTGATTTCAATTTACGTTTGCCCTTGACATTAAATCCTATAATTAGAGGTATAACGTTAATCTCACCAAATATCCAGTAGCCGTCGGTGCCATTGGTGCCAACTCGCAGAAGACCGACGTTATGGTCCGTTACTACATCCTCAATGATGGGGTTGACACCCACCATCTCCCCCATCCCGATGGACACCGTACCCGGGGTTTCCCACGACACCCAGAAAGACCTGTAACCATAGCACGACAGTGGCTTGTGCCATTTGGTGTACTTGTTCCCCGGACATGACGCACACTGGGACAACGTGTTCTGTCTTCCTCCGATCAGAAAAGTAGTTCCCTTGTCTGACGCCTCGCTCTCCCGGAGGTCAACAAGAACGTCGTTACAAGCTTGGACTTCAAAGATCTCATGGGTCCTGTCGTGTTTCGGAACGTCCATCCATGGGTTGGTCGGGCTGGTGTTGTGGATCACGTCGGTGATGTCGTCTGTGGTGTAGAAGATGTTGCACATGACATTGATACTGTGACAAATTTCATCATGTGCATTTAAGCTTTCTTCTTTGTTGTTTTTGTTCAACGCCCCACTTAGCAAGAGTACAGATTGGACAGCTATCAGCCTGGACCAGACATTCCAGTGACTGACGTCATGCGCTGGTTGGTTTGGTTGGTTGGTTGTTTAACGTCCCACTTAGCAATGTTCCAGCTATATGACGGCGGTCTGTAAATAATCGAGTTTGAACCAGACAATCCAGTGATTAATATCATGAGCATCGATCCACGCAATTGGGATCGATGACATGCATCAACCAAGTCAGCGAGCCTGACCACCCGATCCCGTTAATCGCCTTTTACGACAAGCATAGTCGCCTTTTACGGCAAGTATGGGTTGCTGAAGACCTATTCTAACCCGAATCTTCACGGGTCCATTAGCATGGATCTATGCAATTGGGATACAATGACACGCATCCATTGAGTCAGCGAACCTGACGAACCTGTCCCGTCAGTCGCCTCTTTGGACAAAAATATGTTGCTGAAGACCAATTCTAACATGCATCTTCATGGAGAACACTTAAACAGCCAAGGCATTAGGAATGTTCAAGTTGATTCAATAAAAATGATTACAGAGACCTAACAACACAGACGCGAGGCATTTATGAACATCAGTTCCGTGTTTGTTTGTTTGTTGTCTAACACTGCACTGAGCAATAGATCCGGGGTAGAATAGGTCTGGAGCAACCCCTGCTTGCCGTAAAAGGCGACTTTGCTTGTCGTAAAAGGCGACTAACTGGATCGGGTGGTCAGGCTTGCTGACTTGGTTGATGCATGTCACCGTATCCCAATTGCGTGGATCGATGCTTATGTTGTCTATCACTGGATTGTCTGGTCCAGACTCGATTATTTACAGACCGCCGTCACGTAGCTGGAATATTGCTGAGTGCGGCGTTAAACAAACCAACCAACTAAGCAATATTGCAGCTAAATGACGGCGGCCTGTACATAATGGAGTCTTGACCAACAATTGAGTGATCGATATTGTGAGCATTGATCCACGCCGTCTGGGTACACGCAATAACTGAGCCTGACCACCTGATCCATATAGTAGCCTCTTACCAGCGTAGGATACTGGTGACGTATTCTTCGGGGTCAACTCTGTCAAGGTTATAATGATGACTGTCGATCTTCACCAAATACATGATCATTTCAATACCATTAAAGCACTTAGAGGAAGAAGGTCAAACTCATGAGAATGGCATACCGTGATATGCTTACATATTAAATACATCAGGCTGCCAATTTTATGATATCAATTGTGACTCTCGACACACAGTATGCTATACACAGTTACAAACATGTGGATTTAGGTGATGGTCAATGACGTTTTAAGGGACATCGTACATGTCATTACTCGTCATCACATAAAATCCCCCATGAGGATTCTGTGTTCATTGACAGACTTACTTGATGGTTTATACTCCACTCTCCTGGTGGCCAGGTTGGAAGTCTCCAACGCTGGTACTCCATAGAGGGGGAACTTCAGCCTCATCTCAGTCACCTTCACCCCATCAATAAACACCTGAAACAAGAACAGTGTAACAATTGTTTTGAAATATAACCTGTCCTCCTGTCGATAACATGACATCAGATAATCAAGGTATATTTCTAGGTACACTGCCCCATACCCACCCACTAAAGCATACTCATGGTGCTACAGTATTATTTGCCCAGTGGATAGTCTGGGGGTCAGTCTGTGGTCAAACCACTCACTTATATTGTATCTCACCTCCATGTTATCATGGTGGACCTTCACTCACTCACTCACTCACTCACTCACTGATACGTTATCTCACCTCCATGTTATCACGGTAGACCTTCACTCACTCACTCACTCACTGATACGGTATCTCACCTCCATGCCATCACGGCAAACCTTCACTCACCCACTCACCCACTCACCCACTCACTGATACGGTATCTCACCTCCATGCCATCACGGTAGACCTTCACTCACTCACTCACTCACTCACTTACTGATACGGTATCTCACCTCCATGCCATCACGGTAGACCTTCACTCACCCACTCACTCACTCACTGATACGGTATCTCACCTCCATGCAATCACGGTAGACCTTCACTCACTCACTCACTCACTCACTGATACGGTATCTCACCTCCATGCAATCACGGTGGACCTTCACTCACCCACTCACTCACTCACTGATACGGTATCTCACCTCCATGCAATCACGGTAGACCTTCACTCACCCACTCACTCACTCACTGATACGGTATCTCACCTCCATGCAATCACGGTAGACCTTCACTCAGCAACTCACCCACTCACTGATACGGTATCTCACCTCCATGCAATCACGGTAGACCTTCACTCACCCACTCACTCACTCACTGATACGGTATCTCACCTCCATGCAATCACGGTGGACCTTCACTCACCCATTCATCCACTCACTGATACGGTATCTCACCTCCATGCAATCACGGTAGACCTTCACTCACTCACTCACTCACTCACTGATACGGTATCTCACCTCCATGCAATCACGGTAGATCTTCACTCACTCACCCACTCACTCACTCACTGATACGGTATCTCACCTCCATGCAATCACGGTGGACCTTCACTCAGCAACTCACCCACTCACTGATACGGTATCTCACCTCCATGGTATCACGGCGGACCTTCACCACCAGCTCAAACTCCTTCCCAACTTGAAACGGGAAGCTGGCGAGTTTCCTCATGTCCTTGACTGTGGTGCCGTCTACCACCTTGATGCTGGAAGTCTTGTAGCCTCGCTCGGTGAAGGAGCTCTCCAGGAACATCAGCTGTTTTCCTGGAGCTGACTCAAGCTGTACGGAAAACCTAGCCAGAACAACAATCACTGATATTTGATGTTAAACGATCAATAAAAATAGTCATGTCGTATTATCTTGGGGTTCAGCAACCTTGACCAGTCATCATCATCATCATCATCATCACTTCGTTGCGACTGAATTTGTTGTTTGTTAGTTTATTTGTTTGTTTAACGCCGCAATATTCCAGCTATATGACGGCGGTCTGTAAATAATCGTGTCGGGACCACACAATCAAGTTATTTACATCATGAACATCGATCCACGCAATTGGGATCGATGACATGCACCAACCAAGTCAGCGAGCCTGACCACCCGATCCCGTTAGTCGCCTTTTACGACAAGCATAGTCACCTTTTACGGGAAGCAGGGGTTGCTGAAGACTTATCCTATCCCAGAATCTTCACGGGTCGTGACTGAAATTAATGATATGTGTAGTTATGCTGACTATTCTCTTTCAAAGATAGCAAAGGGGTCGAGCAAAACAATTTAATATGTTTCTACAATACGATTGTTTCAGGACATCCTAAGCTCTCACGGACGCACACACGCGCAGAATATTAAATGGTCGGTCCCGATGCAACATGGCAAGGTCTTAATCTTATGTATAATGATGGTTACCACGTGTTCTCGGTGGGCGTGGCGAGGACCCGGACCTCCGAGTTGACAGACAGAGGGCAGCTGAGATTGTGGTGATAAAGCGGCCCTGTGCTCTGTGAAATACTCATTGTCATAAACATTTACCACATAGAGACATCTCATACAAGAAGCCACCATAGACATTTGAAAACCTTCTCTTATCATTATTATTATTATTATTATTATTATGATTATTATTATCTCCCGTTGATATTCTCATTATGATTATAAATATCACAGTTGTTAACATTTTTTAAAGTTATAATCATTGGAGGCCATATCGTTATCATGATCACATTAAAACCTTATGTTCTTCTCATCTTTAATGCCTCAGTTATGAGGTATCTTACAGAGTAGTGCCAGACACTCTTGAAGCAGTGCGCCTGTAGGTCCCCCCAGATGCCCCCGACACAGGTGCTTGGCTTGATCTCCCCACACATCGAGAAGCCGGCTTCACAGCTGTAGTGGGCTACCAAGGACGTGCTTGTAGACGTCACGGCGACGGTGGCGTGTCGACGATGCGGCGGTGACCTGCAGTCGAACGGACCCGACCCTGCAAAAATAGATCTACTGGACACCTTGTTGTCAGTGGTACATAAATATGCCCTTTATTCACAATAATATATCAGAAGTGTACTTTAACGTGTACTTTAGGGCTGGGACAAGACCAAATTTACTACCCGGGTACCCATCCCACTATTACCCGACCCTACTCGGGTACCCGCTGTAGGTCTCAAGGGATAGGTCCAAATGTCCGACTGGGAATAGTTCGACTGCAGCCCTTGCAAAACGTATTTACATACATATCATGCATAAAACGAAGTTGACTGAAGTTTTTCTTTATTCATACATGTAAAGTCAGAAGGAATGGGTGCATAGTCAAAAAGAAAATGCAAACATTAGTAACTTATAGCGTAACAGTAGAGTTCTAGATCATTTTTTGTCATTAAACAATATATCACGTGAATAACCACGGGTCTGGGTAGTCCTGTGGGTACCAAGGTCCTACTCAGTGCCCACCCGACTATGCCGTCGTGTTCTGTGTCGTGTTACCAATTTGCAAGTGATTGCTTTAAATTTGGTCGATGGCTTGGTTCGCTGAGTGTCAACGTGCCCCAGCGCCGTCGGATGATGCTGATGATATCAATCACTGGATTGTAGGACCGAGATTGTATAATGTACAGACGGATGGTTGAGTTAAATAACATTCTCTGTCCTCCCCCATTGGGCGTATTGCGAGTAATGTTCACATACACCTCGTCCCACAGTAACTTGTTTGTTTGTTTGTTTGTTTGTTTGTTGTATAACGCCGCGCTCAGCAATATTCCACCCATATGACGGCGATCCGTAAATGATCGAGTCTAGACCAGACAATCCAGTGATTAATATCATGCGCATCGATCCAATTGGGACGACATACATCAAGTCAGCGAGCCTGACCACCCGATCCCGTTATTCGCCTCTTAAAACATGCATTGGTTCCCGAAAAACAATTTTAAACCGGATCTTCACGGGACTTATATAATCTGAATCCAGATGCATAAAGATAAAACATAATACATCAACATGTTATTGTCATATGCATCTGTTTTATTTTTCATTTCCTGATCGGGTGCCCTATTCCATTCCTGCGGTCTCGCATGGCAGTTAACACCCACGTCTTTATCATACCCACCTACACGAGTTACCTCCCTTCCATACACCTGCACCTCACACAAGCTCAGCACATCATTGGGCACTCTCCGACCCGGGGAGGAGATCCGCACATATCGTCCTGCCGCCGTGTTGGTACATGTGATTGTCCCGGTGGTAATGGGGGGGAACACTCCCTTATACATCACACACGTGTTCCCCATGTCCCCGGGTTGGGGGTCACTGTAGAACACCTCCACCTTGACGTCATGGAGCCTATTGTCTGAAACAGTAAGAGTGAGTGAGTGAGTGAGTATGGTTTTACGCCGCTTTTAGCAATATTCCAGCAATATCACGGCGGGGGACACCAGAAATGGGCTTCACACATTGTACCCATGTGTGGAATCGAACCTGGGTTTTCGGCGTGACGAGCTAACGCTTTAACCACAAGGCTACCCGACCGCCCCAGTAAGAACACGGCAGAGTAGTAGGTGGTGCTTCCGGTTAAATGTGATCCGACTCCGTGGCCGGAACAAAATCCCTTTTGGTATCAACCGGGTACCCCTAACGTGGACGGGATTCTAATCACAACCGCTAAAACATGACAGATCGGATGCACAGCCAACTGTGCCGGGCTTAAACCAATTGGCTCTTATCCCCATGCGTCCACTAGGTTATATTGAATTCGGTATATCCACAGATCCAAGATTTTGAGTGAGTGAGTGAGTATGGTTTTACGCCTCTTTTAGCAATATTCCAGCAATATCACGGCGGGGGACACCAGAAATGGGCTTCACACATTGTACCCATGTCGGGAATCGAACCCGGGTCTTCGGCGTGACAAGCGAACCCAAGATTTTGAAAAAAGGTGGATGCAAATAATACCGGAGTGAGCACTTAACATGTTAGGTGAATGAAAAAGGGGCGTGCACCCCTGCACAGACACACCCCTACCCACCTACCCCCATCTGGATCCGCCTGGGTGCCTGTACCCATACTTACTGCAGAGTGCACTGCCGCAGTCTTCTCGCGTTGTGATTTCCAGGTAGGAAATATAGTATACATTATCCAGTTCCACCTGCCACCACGGGTCAAGGTCACCGCTTGCTGTCGTCCAGCATGAGTTGTCTCCCCACTTGTTTGACACAGCACCATCAACGACTCTGTCAGATGTTACGTTGAGTTGGAGGTCTGAACTGGATTTTGTAGGCCGCAGTTTAGCTAAATTTGACCTAATTGCGTCTGAAATAATCGAAGTAAATTATTAGCACTCTCATTTTGTGACTTCAACGTCTGTAAAATGTAATTTAACTGAGAATAAAAAGTCTGCATTTGTCACGGCATAAATTATGTCTTGTAAAACCGAAATACGATTATATTTTATTGTATATTGATATTCAAATGAAACTAAAATATTACTTGCAAAACAATGGACAAATGAATCAATTATATGCTGAACAGAGAAATATGTTTTCTTTCCGTGGCGAACAGTGCACTTGAATATTGAAGTCAGTGTCACGTGTCGCCGTACCATTGGCTGATCGTACGTAAATACTCGTAAACAGAATTTCCGACAAGTGTAATGTTATTCCAATCTAGCTAAAAGGATAGATCCTGGATTTTTCTATCAACTTTATAATACGCGTGTATGGGAGGTATGGACTGTTTGTGCGTAGCTATATGTTCATTTTCCAACCGAAATGCATCAAAATATAAAGAAAAAATACGTACTTATGTTTAATTCCATTTGTTAACTGTTTATCACCGTAGTCTATTATATTCCAGCTTATCGAGTCTCAGCCAAATTGACCTCGGGATCTGTGAGTTGGGTTTGCCGCCATTTTGAACATAATTTCATTACTTATATATTCAAGGATCAATGAGTGAGTGAGTGAATGTGTTTCACGTAGATTACAGCGATATTCAAGCTATCATACCATATGCCCGTGTTGGAAACGAACTTGGGTCTTCAGCGTGACAAACACACACTTTAATCACTAGGCTACCCCACCGCCCCTTTTATTGTTTGTTTGTTGTTTAACGCCGCTCTCAGCATATTCCACCTATATGACGGCGGTCTGTATATAATCGGTGGAACAGTCAATAGTGATTGGCAACATCGATCTACAGCATTGGGATACAATGACATGCATCAACCAAGTCAGCGAGCCTGACCAGCCGATCCCGCCAGTCGCCTCTTACGGCAAGCATGGGTTGCTGAAGACCTATTCTACCGCAGATCTTCACGGGGACCTTACATTATGGGGTACTGAGAGCTGTGTAACAGTTGTGTTATGTAATTACTTTGTGTAGTTGGAATATCTCCAGCTGGCAGCACAGACAATTTCCTCATGGCTCCGGCGGTGGTGATGACGCGGTCGACGGAGTGGGGGGCCATGATGTTGGGGTAGGCGTAAACAGACTTGCCGTCCACGGCAATCTAAACAATAAGACAAGGGTTATAGTCAACCCGCACACACGGAGTCCGCTCACAACATGATGAACGGTTCACAAGCTTGGCCGTCTCGTTCACCCAAACAATGTCTGACTCGCAAAACAATTTTCTGGTCACCAATTTGTTGACCGGTCATGAAGTACGTCTATTCGTTGACTCGCGCTAAATGTAACAATCTAAAGTTTTCAAACTTCCCATTCTTGTAGGGATATTTATGAGACATTTTGGTACTTGCACATCGAAGTGTACCGTGACGGGAGTAATTGAGTTGAGTTTAACTCCGCGATTGAGAGTATTTCTGCGTCATTTGGTAGACCAGTTGACAATGACAAGGTCGTATAAGTTTACCACAAGCATCTGGTGATGCCTATAGTGAGTGGGTGAGTGAGTTAAATTTATTGCCGCTAGAACTGTATTTCCGAGAAACAGCGTGTCAGCTTGATGTGGGAGGAAAGCCCGACATGATGCAGGTTTTTGACGTTTATCATTTTGGTGAAACTCTCCAGCACGGGTATGGCATATATTTGATGTCAGGAAGGATGACATAATATCACTTGAGAATGATGCAGAGGACACTATGAGCTAAATAAACATGTCTCACATCCACGTGGTCCGAGAAGTAAGTGACAACCACTTTAGACTCCTTGCCGGGAGTGAATGGCAGTTCCGGCACCTCCACTATAGTGGGTGCTGGCCGCATTGGCGCAGTCAGGAGCTCGAACTTGTCCTCTGGGTCGGTGAACTTCATGTTCATCTTAAGGATGTTATCTCCATTTCGTGAGTTCAAAAACGTCACGCTTGATCTGAAATAATACACATGAAACTATGAAGAAATGAATGAATCAACTCCACACGATCATTGATATGACTCGGAAAATGGGAGTGAGTGAGTGAGTTGGGTTTAACGCCGCTTTGAACAGTATTCCAGTTATATTGCGGCGTGTCGGCTTGATGTGGAAAGAAAGCCTGAAGCGAAACAGGTCTGAGACGTTTACCTCTTCGGTGAAACCCACGAGCACGGGTATGGTGCTGACAAACCTAGAAACATAATCGGGGCAAACCGGGATTCGAACCCACGATCATAGGTTTCTGGCGTGCCCAAGGGACGCAACTCTGCACAGCGAACTACGGCGCCTTAGACGACTGGGCCACCCACGCCTCCCCCAACAGGACATGTGAGTATTGCCGGACTGTTGTACAAGAATATATAGAGGTTATCACGCGAGTGTGTTTGGGGATGGTAAATATCCTGCATTAGGAATAAACATTGTATTTAGCGAACCTTGGCGAGCTAAATACATAGTGTTTATTCCTAATACAGGATATTTACCATCCCCAAACACACAAGCGTGATAACCTCTTTATCATATAATGTCATGCTTTAATTCTGTGCTTTAAAATCGCTATCCCTCTCTCACAAACATTACCGAAACATTGCGAGTTTTCCTGGAATGCGCGCATCAGTATTTATTACGTCACAGGGTAAGTGGTGTGTCAGTCGGACAGTGACAGTAGTCAATATAGTTCCAACTGAAATCTGTTTCTTATACAGTGGCGAAGCAACGTATACGCAAAACAACAGTTGTTTTTAATTGCCTTTCGCGGCAATCCATCGGTCTGTCCGCTAGAGTAACTGCCCTTTGTCAAAGGGAAGCTACTCTAACCCTAGTCTATGAGACGTCACGGGCACGGTCAGACGTTGTTGACAGTCGGTCTGTCCTGTCATAACGTTAAGAAGTGTAGTCAGATGTTCACACAGCGACAAAACCAAACAAGGTAACAATTCAAACATATTTCGGCCAAATCCAACTATTTTAATTTGTGGAGAAGGTTTCAAGTCGCAGAGGTCTACAATCACAGATATTGCTACTGATCCCGCGCTTGGCTAGGCCTCGCGCCCTCGCAAAATTGTTTCGAAATTTATACCTCCAAAGTAGCCAAAACTTAAAAAATGCCTTAGCTACGTCACAGTTAGACACTGATTTTCAGTATATTAGACTGTTCTTTTGATAATGATAGCAATTATCCCTGTTGTTTATCCAGATTCCCGATGGTTACTTTTGACTCGATCGCCGAATGACGAGGACGACGCCATGTTTGTTTATAAACAGTGAAAGTAGTCCTACTTGACCTTTGATATTTGCATCTCTATATCGTTTTTATCCGTTGGCCTTATACTGCCGAAAAACCTACCCATTATATGATAAAGTGCAATACGTGGGTCGGTCTGTATTGTATCGCAATTTACCTACGGACAGTCTCAGTGGTCTAGTGGTAGAGTGCCCGCAGAAGGAGACGTTTAAAGATTGTACTCGTTGTTACCCTGTCTGGCGCTAGGCGTTAAGGGGCTAAAACAAGGACTGATCGACTCGGAGTCCGTTTACTGTGTCAGAGTGGGGTATTCATGTTAAACTGCGGCATGGTATCTCAGTGGGCTAGCACTATAAAATCGACATAAGCCCGGACTAGTACAAGCAGCCACACACACAGAAATGATCTCACCAAAGGACGGATTGGGTGTCGGATGACACACGAAACGACTCACCCAGGTGTCTGTGGGGTGACATACATTTCAATGGCCTCGCCTAGCTTCAGCGGACAGGGCAGGATGACGGTTTCAAGCTGTGTAACAATGGAATATGTTGTCATTTTGGGAAGGATCAGCATGTCATCACTCAACAGGAATAGTGTTGCGTTTTAAAAGTTCAAGATATTATTTGTATATGGTAATTACAAAATGAAAGATTTGTATCAAGGTATATAACTCTACACAACGAACTTAGTGAGTGAGTAATACGCCGCTTTTAGCAATATTTCAGCAATATCACGGCGGGGGACACCAGAAATGGGCTTCACACTTTGTACCCATGTCGGAAATCGAACCTGAGTTTTCGGCGTGACGAGCGAACGCTTTAACCACAAGGCTACCCGACCGCCCCTCGAACTAAGTGCCTAACTTGGAAAGGGTCATGCCTATTGGTAAGGTTTTGTGATCTGTCGGCTCTGTACGTTTTTATTTTGTATGCTGATTTTTTATCCAAGAGAACTCAGAACTACTTTCACTAAGAGACATATGTCTAAGGCAAGGTCGTTAACTGACTGCAAAAGACAGGTTTCCACCCTTGCCGAACTAGGATGAAATTTCGGAGTTATATTTTGGTTGGACAAACGGGTACACGCATTGTCCAATTAAAATCGCGTAACGAAATCGACATCCGGTTCGTAAACAGCATGACGTACAATGTACCATGCAGAATTCGGCCAGTTGCAGGATTTGCAAAGCATGTGCACGTCAACCGGGCGTCGAAAGATTGTTTCCAAATATTTTCATGTTCTTGAGTCAACGTGCTCGAGTCTTGTGCAACAGTCGACATGCACTGGGTGTCTGGAGGCTGGAGATGTGAAACTCTTCACATTAGCTTGATCATATCATCTTGTCTGGACGCCGCCATTTTATTTGAAGCAGATGCACGTGATATGAGAAATGGCATCGGAGGTGCGCTACGATCGTGGTACAAAACTCCAGCCTGGAAACTGGACTCTTACAGCCAGTTAGCTTCCTTGCCTCGTGAAGATGACTAAGAGACCCAGGAGGCCGATAACAATAGCATTCTCAAAGCTCTATGTATGTGTGTGTGTGATGTATTTAATTCCCTTTGTACATTTTATATGACACCAGGAAGATTCCGGGGTAGAATAGGTCTTCAGCAACCCATACTTGCCGTAAAAGGCGACTATGCTTGTCGTAAAAGGCGACTAAAGGGATCGGATGGTCAGGCTCGCTGATTTGGTTGATACATGTCATCGATCCCAATTGCGTGGATTGATGCGCATGCTGTCAATCACTGGATTATGTACAGACCGCCGTCATATAGCTGGAATATTGCTGAGTGCGGCGTTAAACAGCAAACAAACAAACATTTTATATGAAGGTTTATATAACGTCAGAGATAGTAACTAAATACATATACTGTGGTACTTACACCTGCAGGGCTGTTAGTGCTGAAGCTTGTCTGAAGGCAGGGCTCCACCTGCCCCACCCACCCCTCCTTGGAGGAACACGAGTGGGCGTGGACACTGCTACACGTGGAGAAGCCGTCTACACAGCGGTATGTGGCCAGAGCCTCTCTTGCTGTCCGAGAGATGGTGACACGGGCGTTAGGGTGCTCTGGAGGTGAAGGGCAGTCAAGGGGAGACCACTCTAAACAGAAAAGGTAGATTGTGTGTAACCTTGACACATTGAGGGAGCATATTGTGTAGAATAATTCTGCAGTATGGAAATATAGTCAACAATGATGGGGATGTTTGCGACAGGGTATTGTTCAGTAGGCGCTTCAAAATAAACAATTGTAATCTCTGAAGGGAGAGATCAAACATTTTTGTCATCCACAAAATATTAATTTTATATTTTTCAAAATGATCCCTGATTTGCCCCCTCTCACTCTAATAATCAAATCTCTCTTTCGTGTTCGATGGTCTCCAGGTCTATGATTTAAAGATTTTCCTTCAAATATGTTTGCGTCTCGACACGATTTATAATAAAGGAGGGTATTCATTCCTGCTACTACCGATCGCCACTATACACGTTTACAGTAAAACAACGTTAATCTAGATTTGAAATCGTAACAAATTGTCGGATTAACAAATCAACGTTATAAAGTAACGTCAATACCAACAATCAACGTTCGTATTAATGGGGTTTCCGGAATAGCAAGGTTTGTTCCTGCACCACCATGACAAGGTGCCCACCATGGCTGTTTACGGTTCTACCTGTCTGTCATCTCACTACCTTTCTTGACCATCTTGTCGCCATACACCTCCACTTCACCAATGGTCATCAGGTCATCCTTGCCCTGTATTTTGTCAGCCTTGACCCTGACGTAGCGGCCCCACACGTCCCCTCTACAGGAAAGTGTCCGCGGGCCGTCTGAGGGGAAGTCCCCCTTGAACTGGGTGCATGGTTTGGCTGGACTGGTTTTGTCGGTGAGTGGATTGTTGACGTAGACGTCGATGGAGAAATCGTGTAGCTTGTCCTCTGTATATATGCATTTGGTTCACATGAAATTATGTTCCAGATTTTAGATGTTATTTAAGATGTTATTTGTTCAATAGTTTACGAAGGTCTCTTTGCAATAAACGGATCAGTGAATTCGAAATTACGACATTGTGTACCATGCATAATATTATTTGAGCTTTAAAAAAACATTCCACCATGTCACAGCAGCACAAGTTTTTTTCAGATTTTTTCAAGATATTATTTTATCAACAAAGAACTAAATATTTCATCACCATGAATTACTTTGTCAAGAACCATCACGCATGTATGTCTTGTCAGTTACGTGTATAGTTACTTTAATATAAGACACCATGTAGTACACTAGCAGTGTTGTGTACCAAATACATAATCAAAGCAGTGTATCTTCACTGACCTAGCAGTCCATACACTTGTACTTCACACACAGTGAAGTGGCTCTTCAGTACCCTACTCATCTGCTGTAGGCGAACAAAGCGGCCGGACACCGACGCAACACACTGTATCTTGTCAAAGGCTACGATGCGGCCAGGGATGTCTCTGCACACAGTGGGCGTGGCTGAAGGGTCAGTCTCTGGGTTGGTGTGGTACACCAGGACCGTCATGTCCGACAGTTGGTCAGCTTCGAAATGTACATGTTATTCAGATTTAACTAGAGGTATGATCAAAATACAATTCATCATACCTTACATTAAAATACAAGTTTCTGATTGGTTAAGGAACGGGCGATGATTGGTCAGCTACGAAATGTACAAGACAATGGCATATAATGTCAGCATTGCTACGGTATATATATATATATACAGGATGTTTATTCAGACTAGTGTATTTCAGGCCTTCTTGACAATGAAATAATATTAATCTCATCAAAATAATTACATGCATTAAATTATCTGTGTCGCAGCAATCGGAATGTCCTTTTCGTTAACATGCGATTCAGCCTTCGTTAAAGATTGTAGATGACAGCGGTGCAGTGCATTTAAACAATTATGAATGACTGCAGTTGTAAAACGTTAATTGTTTACATATACAAATATAACCCGAATGATATAATTTGTGAATGACTTCCAATAACAGGGGGCGGTCGGGTAGCCTAGTGGTTAAAGCGTTCGCTCGTCACGCCGAAGACCCGGGTTCGATTCCCGACATGGGTACATTGTGTGAAGCCCATTTCTGGTGTCCCCCGCCGTGACATTGCTGGAATATTGCTAAAAGCGGCGTAAAACCATACTCACTCACTCACTCCAATAACAGAGGAAAGTATCAACATGCAGACAACTCTTCCAAGATGGAATTGTGGTCCATTGAGGTCCTCCAGTTATTAATCTGTATTTAAATTGATGATAGTAGATTAGTGGGCGTGTCCTGTTTTCTTTACGGATTTTACGAGTTTTTGAGACACATGTGTGTTCCTCCTTTGCCAAACGAACTGCTAGAAATTACATTATGTCAGAATTTATTTTAGTACTCACGGTCGCCATCAGAAGGTGGTTGTAGAGCCACGCTGTCTATGGCGTAGCTGTCGCCGAGGTCCACCATCCACCAGCCAGTGTCACCAGTGCTGGTGAAGCAGCTGCGGCCGCTCCTGGCGGCGTTAAGGTCGCCGTCAACGGCGTTGTCATACCGTGAAAGTGCGCCGTTGTTGCCGTTCCCGAATGCCTGTTTGTTGAGTGCTAAGTTCACACTTTCTACAACAGCCATAAAATAGTGCTTGTAAGTGAACATTTGCAAACTACATCTATGCATCGTTTTCCACAGCAATTTTGGAAGAGAGGTTTGCAAACAAATGTTAGAAGAATTGCAATATTTCGCGAAGCAATTTCCGTTTTGAGGTCGTGTAGGAACACGTGACCAAATGAGTTACTTATAGGGTTGTAATACATTAACACTTGGTATAACACTAAGAAAACGTCAATATAACAATTTTTAAAATATGTTTGAAAGGAGTAAGGTAGTGAGCACAGTGAATTATCTTGATATGTCAATTTCGTGCACTCATGTAAAAACTATATATATAAATAGAGCGTGTCATCACAAAACCTTCCAACAGTTTCCGGAGATTACCGACTTCATAATGCTCCTTAATATTGATTATAAAAATTGACTTCAGCAACAGTATTCCCGGGATATATGTGAAATAACGCTTGGAGTTTTAGATGTGTTTTCCACAATTTCCAGTAAATATTTCTGGAAGGGTCGACTCTGCGAATTGAACAAATTTGGAGTGATGTTTCGAGTAGAGAGATGTTCCACATCACGTTTTCACAATATTTCCTCGTTGCCTTACAGCTCAGCGAAAGTGTGACAATAGACTCATAAACCCAACTCAGACTAAAAATAGTCAGAGTTAGAAGTGTAAAGAGCTTTGTTCGTTGCTTTGTTCGGTGTTTCAGATTGGTTATGATCCTTCAAGTTATGGATGCACCTGGTTATTGTATGCTATTTTGTATTTTGTTGATGATGTGCACTGTGCAAACACGGGTATTTCCTTTCTTAACATTAAACGTTTTCTACTCAACCTGACGTATATTTGTTGTAAAAGGTACAACTGAAGTCAAGACAATATTCCAGTAGAACAATCTCATTAAAATCAGACCTCAGTTCTCGCTACCGCTAAACAAAGATCTGAGGACATCCCATTAGGGGTCACGTCAGAACGACCTTTCATCCGACCATCGCTTACCAGATTATGAAAGTGACAGTCGGAATGTGATTTCTAATCATGCAACCTCGAAAACTTTAACTCCGAACGATAGTTAGGGGTTTAACGACTAAATCCGTACAATCTAGACCATCTATTATCCATTTAAGATTGTTCTTTTGTTCAGTTTTCAAATTTGTAATCGAGAACTTGTCAAAATATGTTTCGAAGCGTAGTCGCAAATTTGAAGTTAGTGCCGTAAAGCACGAGAAACCTGCCTTCTGATTGGTCATTCCACTGGTCGGTCAAAGTTCGCGCAAGGTCGGTCTGACGTGACCCGTAATGGGATGTCCAGTGATCTTTCTTTAGCGGTAGCGAGAACTAAGATCTGATTTTGATGAGATTGCCAGTAGAAGCCCCTGCTGCTATTTTTCCAAACCAACGGCAACACTGACGGCGATGGTAAACATACAAAGGGTCCGATCATTTGACATTATAATAGTAAATGGAAAAAATAAATGCACAAAAAGTTTTTAATTGTATGTAATTTCTTCATTTAAATGTTAGTCAAGACGAATTATTCGCTGGCAATCCCGGAAAACGTTTGCCAACTAATTTAACAGAACGAAATTGTATGTATCGAAATGATTTTAAAAACACCTAATTCCATCCCCTCTACACCCAGAATATGGAAATGTTTGGTCACTAATATAACACGTGACGTCATTGCAGAGAACACGTGACACTCGTACCACACCCTGGACACGTGTTGTTGATGTCTATCTTGATGTCCCGGATGTAGTACTGTCTGCCAAGGTCAACCTGGTACCACTGATCACCATCTCCCGTCTGCGCATGCCAGGTAGACCCTTGTTCCCACGCCCTGGTGGGGTTCCCGTCCACGCCGTAGGAGGCGGGATTGCTGTAGGTGGTGCTGGCGTTCACTGGTGCATTGTGGGCCAGGTTCCCAGGTACGGGGTCTGTGGAGTGGGGTAGCGTAGGTTCATTATAATGTACATGCCCTCAACGTGGGACACAGCATGAGAAACAACAACAACAACAATAATAATTATAGTGAGTGAGTGAATATGGTTTTACGCCGCTTTTAGCAATATTCCAGCAATGTCACGGCGGGGGACACCAGAAATGGGTAATAATAATAATAATAACAATAATAATAATAATAATGATAATAATGTGCATATTTATAATGCGCCAAAATCCATGCCATAAAGCGTGCTCAAAGTGCTACATTATTACACCGGTCATGATCAATGGATCAGTGTGCACTTGATTATCGTTCTCAGGTCCCTGGGGAGTATACAACCCAAGCTGCCTGTGAGGAGGTTAACAACCACATCACCATCTCAACCTACCGGGCACCCATTCCCTGCTGGGTGAGGGGCGGTCGGGTAGCCCAGTAGTTAAAGCGTTCGCTCGTCACGCCGAAGACCCAGGTTCGATTCCCGACATGGGTACAATGTGTGAAGCCCATTTCTGGTGTCCTCCGCCGTGATATTGCTGGAATATTGCTAAAAAAGCGGTGTAAAATCATACTCACTCACTCACTCACTACTGGGTGAACAGAGGCACATTTTGAACAAAGTCACTTGCCCAAGGAGCCATCGCATGTGGTACATGTGCTTCAGTGTGGGGCAGGACCCAAGCCCTAGAAACTCTCAGGAGTCAAGCTGCTGAACGCCGTCACCCATCCAACTACTCTCAAAGACAGACGTTGCTTTATTTCACCCGATTGTGACTGTGACGCCAAACATTATTTTAGGAATTTCTTTTTCATAAAGGCTATTTTTTCCAAATGGTGTAAAAATTCAATACATACTCAAAGACACGTGGGCATCACCAATAGAAAATAACTGCTTAAGAACTAAAGAACACCCCCGGGGGGATGGCGTGTCTTCGTATCCCGAAGGCGTGGATAACAATATCAGTCACTGAATTGTCTGGTCTAGACTCGACTATTTACAGACCGCCGTCACAGAGATGGAATATCGCTGAGTGCGGCGTTAAACAAACAATCAAATCAAATGCTAAACAAAATGGATGACCTGTGACCCGAATTGGGTGTGTCCAAGCTGCCTGACGACACGCCCACCAGAACACAGGGCAATTCAGTCGAACAACAACCTATCTACATAATTACACAATACCTCACCGGTAAACGTCCGGTAGAATAGGTCTTCAGCAACCCATACTTGTAGTAAAAGGCCACTATGCTTATCGTATACGTAAGAGGCGACTAACGGGATCGGGTGGTCAGGCTCGCTGACTTGGTTGATGCATGTCATCGTATCCCAATGGCGTGGATCGATGCCCATGATGTCAATCACGGGATTGTCTGGACCAGACTCGATTATTTACAGACCGCCGTCATATAGCTTGAACATTGCTGAATGTGGCTTTAAACAACAAACAAACAAACAAAACTACACAATACTTACCTTTAAATACATCGAAGATCATGTCATTGTATAGTTTGGCTTTTCTGATGTGGAATCCAGGAGTTGATGTTATGAAATCTGCCTTGTGAGCGTCAGCTTCATCCAGCAGGTACTTGTACAACGTCTCCCCATCTACCTCAATCTACAAGTTAGGAAGATCCACATCACTATAGCATCCACGAATAGATTGCCTTCTACAAAAATACAGTAAACTACGGTTATAACGAACTCAAAGGGACCACAAATTTTAGTTCGTTATAACCGTTGTTTGTTATAAACATATATACAGCATATATTCAGCAAATGGCCGAGACAAAAAAAAAACAGTTCGTTATAAGCGTGTTCGTTATAAACGTAGTTTACTGTACGTTTATAACGGACACGCTTATAACCAACTGACGGATACAACGAACTGGTTTTTTTTCAGTCCCGGCCATTTGCTGTATAATAATAAGGCTATTTATATAGCGCAAAATCAACATCACTGAGGGACATGCTCATTGCTCAATTCAGCATATGTACATACATACAACAGAGAGGGGGCAGTAAGATAGTAAAAATATACACATTCAAAAAAATATGTTTTGAAGTTCCATAGAGAAGGATCGGGCACTAAGGACTTTAGTCTGTATTTTGGTGCAGACAGGAGAAGTTGGTCATTTGATCGGAGATTTCGGGTAGATTTGTATTTGAGAAACATTTCTTGATGAAAGTAAGGACAAGTTGTATGAGTGACTCGTAAACTAGAGAGAGAATTTTAAAATCAACCCCCTCATGGTTTCGCAGCCAATGTAGTGACTTCAAGATGGGTTGAGATATGTGACCGAAGCTTCATTCAGCTCTATTCTGTATCTTCTGCAGTCGGCTCAGCTGATCCCCTGATATTACCACAAGTCGGCTATTGCAATAGTCAAAACAAGACAGGATGAGTGATCTTGCCATGGCGGCTGTAGCATAAGTAGTAAGAAGATGACGGATTGATCCAATATTTCTCAAATGAAAATGTCATGTCTTACAGAATAAAAGTACGTGTGTTTCCATAGTTAGGGAGGAGTCAATAAAAATACCAAGGTTTTTGACACATGAGGAAAAAGGAATCAAGGATTGTCCAGTTGTGAGGTGGGGTTGCTGCGATTTATGTTGTCTTGAGGGCGGAGCGATTAGGATTGCTTCTGTTTTATCATCATTTAGCTTGAGCATGTTGGAAGACATCCAGGATTTTACATTGTTTAGACAGCTTTCCATCTTGTTCAAAGATGAAATCTGATTGTCGAGGAGGGGACTGAAACCATCAACCAATTGTGAATCATCTGGACATAAGTGATGAGCCACATGCTCTTCTGATACCAAATGCCCAAGTGGCCTTGTGTACAAGGTGAACAAGATCTGTCCCAGCACATACCCTTGAGGGACACCACATGTGAGACTTTCGCTGTTCGACATTGGTGGCGAGGTGAAATTAGCTTTAACGTCGCCGCCAAGATTATCGCACTTATATAGCGACGTGCATGCACGTGTTTGTGTGTGTGAGTGGCTTGTACTTGTCCGGACTGATGCCGATTTTAACATGAATACCCACTGAGACAAAGTATACTGACTCCGAGCCGACCAGTCCTTGTTTTTGCCCCTTAATGCCGAGCGCCAGACAGGGTAACAACAAGTACCATCTTTTAACGTCTTTTGGTATGACGCGGCCGGGGATCGAACCCAGGACCTTCCGCTCTCCGGGCGGACCCTCTACCACTTGACCACGGAGGCGGTTTTGTTCGACATAGTCTTGTTTATATGCTGTATATATGATGATAACAAATTACGGTTTTAACGAACTAGAATTGGTGGTCCCTTTGAGTTTGTTATAACCGTAACGTCATGCTTTCCTTATAATCGTAGTTTGCTGTATACCAGTACATGACGTATTTCTCATACGTACCAACAAATGATCCGACAGTACTGTCATTACTATGTGAGATTCCTTGTTTTTAACGAAAGGGTTTTTCGTTGGGTAGACAGCAGTAGAGAGTGCTCCTGATGCCAGGTGACTAAGCTGGATTGGTTTGTCTGTGGCCTGTAAGGTCAGGTTCATGAACAGAACAGTGTCGGTCTCGCTGTGCAGAACCAGAGACTCTCTGGAACAAAAGGTCAAGGTCACAACAATCCAGCTCAACACCTGCAGTCATTAGAAATTAAAAACTCAATTCTTCAAAACTAAACCAACCTCACGTGTTTTGATGTGAATACAAAACGTGGCTTATTAACAGCTGGATCTGGGGCCGACAATGATGTAGTGGTTAAAGTGTTCGCCTGTCACGCCGAAGGCCCGGGTTCGATACCCCGCATGTAAAATTGTGTGAAGTCTATATCTGGTCTTCCGCGCCGTGATATTGATTGAAGAGATGGAACATCATACTCACTTATTCACCGTGGTGCTCTGTCAGATTTGACTAATGAATAACATTGATTGTTTGTTGTTGAACGGCGCACTCAGCAAGTCCATCTATATGACAAGGGGTCTATAGATAATCGAGTTGGGATCTGAAGCCAGTGATTGACACCATGAACGTCTACGTCTACGATGACAAGCAATCAACCAAAGCAAAGAGCCTGACCACCCGATCCATTTAGTTTTGTTTGTTGTTTAACGCCGCACTCAGCAATATTCCAGCTATATGACGACGTTGTGTAAATAGTAGAATCTGGACCAGACAATCCAGTGACTGACTAACGGGATCGGGTGGTAAGGGTCGCTGACTTGGTTGATGCATGTCATCGTATCCCAATTGCCTGGCTCGATGCTCATGATGTCAAAAAACAGGATTTTCTGGCCAAGACTCGATTATTTACAGACCGCCGTCATATAGCTGGGATATTTCTGAGTGCGGTGTTAAACAACAAACACACAAACATAACAGTGAAACGTTTATGCTGGGGACAGAATATCGGAACTATAATAACGGAAAACAGTTGACATGACTCCTAACATACATGTATGACCTGGTGGTGTGTTTTGCAGACAGGTGGTTAAATTGAGACACATTCTTTATCAAACTAGAGGATTAAGTGAGGAGAATTACCTGTATTTAGCTTCCAGGCATTTTACATCTTACATATAAACACGCTTATGGGGATTATTTGAAGTCATTATTCGATGTCAAACAGGGTCGGCGTTCGAAAGTATTATATTTACTTCAAAAAACATTTTTGGTAAAGCAAAATCTTAAAAGTATGCTGAATTTGAATGGTCTGACTCAGTAGTTACAGAGGTATATTTCTTCCTGAAATCGGAGTTCATCTTCAGTCCAACTGAAAAAGCCTTATACGTGTAGTATTCAAGATTCAAGATTCTTTATTCAGTATTTTGGGCCATGTGGCCTAGAGTACAATTACAATTACAATAATTGCTGCGTCACGTGATGTCAGGAAAATAAATACAAGTAGTCTTATTTCACATTAAATACATAATTTAAGTATAAGGCCAAAGCCTTTACAATGTTGATATTTTTGGAGTTGAGTAGATAACATAAACTGTGATTATCATGATGGACATTGGATAAGCAAGGCAAATAGTGGTTTCTGACAGAAGAATATTTTGAACATATAAACAAAACATGAAATTCATCCTCTACTTGCCTCCCTTTACAGTGGGTACATAGATATAGACTCAAGTCTTCATTTGTATGTTTTGACTTTCGTAGCATGTTAATCTTAAAACCGTGTAGCGATATTCTGAATTTACAATATGCGTGTAGTATAATACTCATCGTTCTCCCGCAACTTACTCGTCCTGGAGAGGCGTGGCCCAAAGCTCGATCCCAGATCCAAGAACAAGGGGACAAATAGCGAAGTCGGACATCTGGAGAAGTAAACACAGACCAAGTATGATCGTTATCCCGTATCATATGCAAGCGAAATTAAGTACTCCAGCGTTCATTCTGTTATTGGTGTGATAACCGCAATTTGTTACCCAGAATGTGCCAGAATCCTATAATGCTGATTGGGTGATGATTCTTGTCGTACCATACCCGAGCTCGTTTTTGTCACCAATATTGGAGCGCCGCCATGAGTGATATGATAGGTAGAATCTGATTGGTCGATAGGCGATACATAGAAGGGACATCACTCGTAATAGCCACTGGTGGGGCTACGATCGAGCCCAGAAATTCCAGCCTGGTTCCAAGGGTGGTAACTGGACTTTTACAGACAGTTAAATACCTTGCCTCGGGAGGATGGCGGATGCTCGAGACGTTGACGTTTTATCTTAACACCCGCGATAAAAATGACATTCTGTTCAAAGTGGCATTAAATCCATGTCATTATCAGATCTGAAAGGAATACGTACGCTGCCGAAAACACCCGCTTCCAGCACTGTCTTGACGCATGCCCCAGGTGAGGAGTTCCACCCCGTCTCACTGGAACAGGATAAAACGTCATTTCCACTGCACATGACGTCAGTACCCTGGCACGTGTATTTAGCAATGGCCTTGGCAGGTGTGTACGATAGCTGTACAGCAGCGCCGTCTAGAAGTGGGGGGTCGGGGCAGGAAAAGGGAGACCACCCTGTTGTTTGTATGAAAAAAGTGTTATTATACATAATAATGAAATTATGATGTATCTTGCAAAACGCATCTATAACACAGAACGCCCCGTGAAGATCCGGGTAAAGAAAATCTCTGCAACAATGCTTGCCGTAAAAGGCGACTAACGGGGTCGAGTGGTCAGGTTCGCTGACTTGGTTGATGCATGTCATCGTATCCCTATTGCATGTCATCGATCCCAATCGCGTTGATCGATGCTCATGATATGAATCACTGGATTGTCTGGTCCAGACTCGATTATTTACAGACCGCCGTCATATAGCTGGAATATTGCTGAGTGTGGCGTTAAACAACCAAACAAACAACCAACCAACCAACCAACCTATTGTGTAGATCAATCACTGGGTTGTCTGGTCCAGACTCGATTATTTACAGGCAGCCATTATAAAACTGCTGAATGCGGCGTTAAACAACAAATAAACTATAAAATAGAACAGGTTCTCTGGATTTTGTGGATATATCATCATGTATGTCGCATTTCTCAGTTTTGTTAAATTTTACGAAACAACACCCAATTAAATGCCTTTGGCAGTTTTCAAATGCTACTATTTTCACATACAGGTGAGAAGAGAGAGGAACCGAGATGACTAAAGTCGCAAGGGACAGTGAAGACACTGGATTATGGCAATATTTATTGTGGGACAAAGGAAAGTACACTGAGTTTGTTTTTTATGTAATTAAAAATTTAAAGAACTATTGTTAAATTTGTTTATGTCTTTTTAACCATCACACATGCCTGCAAAAGATGATAAAAGAACATATGTGGCTGGGTAATTTTGTGTTTTGGGTAAATCGGTTTAATAAAGACTGGGGTAAGAAATGAATTGGCAACCACATGACCCTACCTTGTTTGAAATGTTGACAATTGGTGCCGAAAGAAGCAAATGTATTGATTTTCAAAGATAAGATGACGAAGATACCCGTCAGAACCAGTGGTTTATGAAAATACTATTTTATATTTTCAAAAGTTTTGAAATCAAATTATATTTTAATAAATAAAGCTTTGCGGAAGTAGTCTTTGGGAGCTGACTAAGCGACAGTACAATTCATTTTCTGAATATAATATCACTAACTATTTAAATATTTTCAATTGAAAATGAAACATATGATAAAAATCAACTTAGAGTTATACTTTGTTTTGCACCTCAATCTAGAAAATGTTGGTGATGAGCACTACCGCGTCTCGTTGACCAGGATAAAAAAAATTCAACCCATGTATTTAGCGAAAGTTATAATTCCTAATTTACGGATAAACGTACCCAAACTTACAAAATCGAGCAAAGAAAATAAAAACAAGAACAGTCTTTTTGTCTCCTCATAAGAATATTGAAGTTTCTCTATGACATGCATTCCAGAAACTGTCCATGCATGTCATTTTATTGTATTTTGCTTTTGGACTCTCCCATTTTTAAAGAATACAAAACTTTAAAACTTTAAAAATATGACGTTCAGGTTATGAATAATAAGTTAATATTTGTTTGTTGTTTAACACCGCACGTATCATAAGCATCGATCCACGTATGACATGCATGAACCAAATCACCGAGCCTGACCACCCGATCCCGTAAGTCGCCTCTTACAAGCATGGGTTGCTGAAAACCAATTCTATCCCTGAATCTTCACGGGTCTAATCTGTGTACTATAGTAAGCCGAGACATGTTCAGCTGACCCACCTGTTCCCTGGACACGACCCCCGTACACCTCGGCCTCACATATGGTCATCACGTCGGACACACCCCCAGTCTTCACGCCACTGACCCTCACATACCGGCCCACTGCATCAAAGCCACAGTCTAGTCTCTGGACAGTTTGAGGGGGGAATACTCCCCCATACACGTGGCACGTCACCCCCAGCGCTCCAGGCTTTGACACCGGATCCTCTTTGAATACCTCTATTTTAAAGTCATGAAGGCGGACTCCTGGAAAATGAGAATTAGAAATTGGGCTGTGCAACAAAGCCGTCTTTAATACAGGTACCGTCGTCTACGATGGCGTTGTGGAACTGAATCATGCGATTACCGTAGGTTTTCAGAGCATTTGGTCACTGGTTTCCCTTCTGCACTGTGGGTTTTGGAGCAAAAATGATTCCCATATATTCTTAATTCAATATAATTCCCAATAGCAATTATAATGGTTCGAAGTTTTGTTGTCTGATGTCGCAGGAAAATCGTGAGTAACGCAGGTCGTTTAGCATCTTTATGAAACAACCAGCGGTGATTTTGTACTGAGAGACAAAGGGTCTTGGAATCGAACCCACGAACAGAGCATCCTGGTAGGGCAAAGAAATGTAACTCTACATGTACAACTATCACCATTAGACCACATGGTAACACATGGTCTTTATTGCATTGGAGAAATAACTATACTGTATTTGGGAAATAACTATTTGTCTTTTAGAAATAACTTTACTGTATATGTGAAAAAAATATACTGTATTTGGGAAATAACTGTACTGAATTAGGGAAATAGCTATACTGTATTAGGGAAATGCCTATACTGTATTTGGGAAATATCTGTACTGAATTTGGAAAATATCTACACTGTATATGTGAAATACCTACACTGTATTTGGGAAATAAATATTCTGTATTAGGGAAATATCTGTACTGAATTAGGGAAATAACTATACTGTATAAGGGAAATATCTGTACTGAACTTGGGAAATAACTACACTGTATATGTGAAATACCAATACTGTATTTGGCATATAACTATTTGTGGTGCCATCACTGAGTTTCAGTGATCCATTCATATTCTTTTCACCGTTTTTTCCCTTTAACTGGAATCTGCTTCAGTGGCTAATCGAGGCTAGTTATTCTCTGGCGTTGACGTTTTATATTGACGAGAGAATGGTTTTCTAATCATATACAAGCATTATTTATCAAATAGCTTCAGAAAGGGTCTCACCACACATTCCTTTGCATTCCAAGCTGGTCAGGACCAAATGGGAGACGTAGTATGTTCCAACAAGGTCAACCTGCCACCAGGGGTTAGGGTCACCCTCACTGGCTGACCAGCACGAGTTCCCTGTCCACACCACGTTAGTATCGCCGTCGTTAGCTCTGCGAGATTCCACGGAGTCGGAGTTACTGCTGGAGGATGAGGGTTTGTTTAGACCAATGTTGGTCACCATGGGTTCTGTGAAGAAGAGTGAGTGAGTGAGCGAGTGAGTGAGTGAAGAGTATATCAGTGATCTCTGGTCGTAGTTTTAATGTGGTGAAACACACGGCTGGTGCTGTACATCATAATCATAATCATCATCCCACCTTAAGTGGCCATTGACGAGTGGAAACAATGCATCTCATGAACATCCGGGTTACAATTGGTCTTCAGCAACCCATGCTTATCGTAAAATTAGTTTGTTTGTTGTTTAACGCCGCACTCAGCAATGTTTCAGCTATATGACGGCGGTCTGTAAATAATCTAGTCTGGACCAGAGAATCCAGTGACTGTAATCATGAGCATCGATCCACGTAAAAGGCAACTATGCTTGTCGTAAGAAGTGACTAATAGGATCGGGTGATGATCAGGCTCGCTGACCTGGTTGATGCATGTCATCGTAATCCCAATTGCGTGGATCGATGCTCATGATGTCAATCACTGGATTGTCTGGTCCAGACTCGATTATTTACAGACCGCCGTCATATAGCTGGAATATTGCTGAGTGCGGCATTAAACAAAAACCAAACAAACATCATACGCGTTCATTCAAGTCAAGTCATTTCATTCTCAAAAACTTCCTTGGTGGAACATACACAATATGGACATAATGGCAGATGAAAGACAGACATCATTTGTTTACAGTAGCGAGAATAAATCGAAATATATTTTAATTAGAATTGTTTTGGTCATATTTTAGCCTTGTAGGACATAACACATGTTTATATTAAAATACGCTTGACCAAGTGAAATATTTTCTTTGTAAATATATATATCTATGAGAGCTAAAATCAGGACATTTGAAACGATAGTGAAATTCATCTGCAATAGAGTCGCACAATCGGCTTGACGTATTCTGATCAGTTTTCAATATTTATCTTGAGGCGTATTTTCAACACAGTAACTGATGTGAAGATGGATATGTATCCATCTCCCCAAGACGCTGATGAAGGAGAACTTGAAGACCCCAGACAACGCCCTAACTTACCTTTCCACTGAGTGGATTTGGGGACGCCCTGAGGGAAGTACGTGACTTGGTCGGACAAGAAGCCAGGGTCGATGAGGACTTTGTCCACGAGGTGAAGGTCAGCAGAGTGAGGGATACTAGCCATGTGATGGCCGTTTACAAATATCTGGTAGGTAAAACAAACGAACGAGAAATGTGAAATGTGTTTCGGGCTATCATTGGTTGGTTGGTTGTTTTACGCCGCACTCAGCAAAAAAAATATTCCAGCTATATGACGGGGGTCTGTAAATAATCGAGTCTGGACCAGACAATCCAGTGATTAATATCATGAGCATCGATCCGCGCAATTGGGATCGATGACATGCATCAACCAAGTCAGCGAGCCTGACCATTCGATCCCGTTAGTCGCCTTTTACGACAAGCATAGTCGCCTTTTACGGCAAGCATGGGTTGCTGAAGACCTACCAGCAAGATCTAGACTTTTCAAAAATGGTAACCACATTCCCTGTAGTTGGCTTTCGATGCCCCTGGACCAAATTAAGCTGTTATTTCTTTATATTTCAATACTTACTAATTAATTTTAGATATTAAAATTGGTAATGAGGGAGACATATTTAGAGATTTCAGCTGGTCATTTTTCTACTTGGTAAATTGAGCCTCCGACATAAAAGTTCAGAATTAATGAATGCTTGTTAATGAAGTGCTTGTTCCAATACCGTCTGCTCGCTGTTAACAAATTACACTGTAGATACAGAAGGGAAGGGGAGTAGATATTTCAATTTAAATAAGAAAAAAATCCAATCATTCCAAACTTAACGACCATTTAATGTACGTACAATGTACGTGTGACCCGTGAAGATCCCGGTAGAGAATAGGACCATGCTTGCCGTGAAAGGCGACTATGCTTGTCATAAGAGGCGACTAACGGGATCGGGTAGTCAGGCTCGCTGACTTGGTTGGTGCATGTCATCGATCCCAATTGCGTGGATCGATGCTCATGATGTCAATCACTGGATTGTCTGGTTCAGACTCAATTATATACAGACCGCCGTCATTTAGCTGGAATATTGCTGAGTGCGGCGTTAAACAACAAACAAATAAAACCATGTACATGTCCATTTACATACCGTCCTATTCTTTACAATCCATTCATGTTTTCAGTAATAGGGTTTTGGGGGCATTTTGAAGTCAAGGTCCATTAACTTTTTTCAGTATTTATCGTTTGTTGTTTTCAGAACATTAAAGTTAACCAATTAATTTAGAATGTAATAGCTGGTGAACAATTCCATAAATATACCCGTGTTTGCGATGTTTAATTGATTTTAATTTGCAATATTAAAATAAAATTATGGTATTAATACAGGGCACATGAGAGCTGATATGGACTCCGTGTGATCAGTATCTATACAGGTTCCTGCACCTATCGCGACAATAGAACATGTGGTTTGATGAGAGATCACCACGGACATGTCTTGTGACAATCTGTGTTTTTGTGACCCCTCTACATTGAGAGAGCTCTCCACTGGCAATCTCGCGTCGAACAATATATATATATGAAACATATTTTATTGTCCAAAAAGACGAAGGGATTGTGTACAAGTGCATAAGTTATTGCCGTCTTCTCACTGCCGTCGAAAAGATGTGTTCTTGATCCCTCTACACTGAGAAAACTCTCCATTGACAACAATCTAAAGCTCACATCGAACAGCGTGTCTTTGAACCCTATAGTCGAAGCGGGCTTTCCTCCGACAACAATCTCACCTTGAAAAGTGTTTCCTTGGACAATGTACCCCAAATGTGCTCTCCACTGACAACACTCTCGCCTTGAAATGCGTTTCCTTGAACGCAATAGCCCAAGTGAGCTCTCCACTAACAAACACCTGACCTTGAAAAGGTGGTCTTTGGATTGGTTGGCTTGTTTGTTGTTTAACGCCGCACTCAGTAATATTCCAGCTATATGACGGCGGTCTGTAAATAATCGAGTCTGAACCAGACAATCCAGTGATTAATATCATGAGCATCGATCCACGCAGTTGGGATCGATGACATGCATCAACCAAGTCAGCGAGCCTTACCACCCGATCCCGTCACCTTTTACGGCAAGCATGGGTTGCTGAAGCCCTATTCTACCCCGGAATCTTCACAGGTCTTTGGAGAATGTAGCCCAGGGGAGTTCTCCACTTGCAACAATTTTATCTCGAACAGTAAAGCCTGAAACTATTATCCAAGTGAGCTCTCCAGTGACAGCACTCTCACCTCGAATTGTGTGTCCTTGAACCCTATGGTCCAGGCGAGTTCTCCTCTGAGGGGGACAGGCGAGGTGAAGGTCGAGGAGAGACCGGCTTCATTCCATACTATAACATCCCGTGTGGAGGGGTTGACCTCCAAGAAGAGGTACACCATGTCAGTGCCACTGTTTCCTAGGGCGAGCCGAAACCTGGTAAAAAAATAGGTTAATCAGTAAACAAATAGTGAACAGCATTATTTTCTTCATTGCGTTGCATATAATCATAACAGTCCATTTATATGGCGCTGTACTCCATGCATAAGCATGCCCTAAGCGCTTAGACATTTTATTACCCCAGTCAATGGATAGGTGTGCACACAACAATCATTCTCAGGTCCCTGGGGAGGATACAACCCAAGCCATCTCGTCCTTCTGGGTACCCATTCACTGCTTGGCGAACAGAGGCACAACTTGAACAAAGTCACTTGCCCAAGGAGACACCACTAGTGCTGCATGTGCTGGTGTGGGGTAGGCCCGATGACCTAGTTGTTACATCTTCCCGAGGCAAGGGAGTTAACTGACTATAAAATTCCAGTTTCCATCCTTGCCAAACTAGGCTGGAATTACGGAGTTATATTTTGGCAGGACTAACAATTGTATACATAGTCCAATCAAAATCGCGGAACGAAAGCGACCTTCGGTTCATAAACACCATGGCGACTGCCGTGCAGATTATAATACGGTCGATGCAGGATTTGTAGAGCATGTGTACCGAGCGTGCATGGGCGTCGACAGATGTTTTCCAAATCTATTCATGCTTTAAATCTAGGTGCTCAAGTGAGTTGTTGTACTTCGCGAGGTAAGACTCTTTTTTTAAGAAACAAAATCTTGATTATCGATCAGATTGTCTTGACTCGGTGCCGCCATTTTGTTTAAATCTGTTGCAAGTGATATGAGAGATGGAATATGATTGGCCATTAGGTGGGACATAGAAGGGACATAACCCGTTATCTCTATGATTTAAACAATGTAACAGCCTAGCGTTAGTCATTGGTAATGGGGATTTAGTCTGACCCGAATTCTCAGCTGAAGGCAAGGAGTCTCAATGAATGGATGGGTGATTGTGCGTTTTCCTTTAACACAGATATAGGCAGAGCAACGTTAGTTAGGGGACCATCATACTCACTTGTCCAGTATGTATCTGCCTTTGACCAGGAGACCGGACCCCGCCTCAGGCGAGCAGGTCAGTTGCACGAGGGCAGGGGCCGGCTGTAGGGTACATTATGAATACATGTATGTGACAAAATATATCTAGGACACTAGGGCTGGAACGGGTAACTCGGGTACTCGGGTCGGGTGGGTACTGAGTAGGACCCGGGTACCCACAGGTTAGTCACGTGATATATTGCTTAATGACCAAAACAAGTATCTAGAACTCTACGATTACACTACAAGTCACTAATGTTTGCATTTCTTTTTGACTTTGCACCCATTCCTTCTGACTTTATATGTTTGAATACAGATAAAACTTCAGTCAACTTCAGTTAATGCATGACGTGTATCTAAATACATTTTGCCAGGGCTACAGTCAAACTATTCCCAGTCGGACATTTGGACCTATCTCTTAAGACCTACATCGGTTACCCAGATAGGGTCGGGTAATAGAGGGGTGGGTACCCGGGTAGTAAATTTGGTCTCGTCCCAGCCCTAAAGGAAACTATGGCACGTGTTTTTCCTTAATAAATCATCTGCTAAGGAAATGCAAATATAAATAAACACGATCGCTGTTCTCAACCATATGTACATTTAGAGTTTGATTTGTGGAGATATTATTGAAGGAAATATCATCTGACCCGTCATAGTCGTCAAAACAATTACGGTGAGCCATTCAAACATTTGAAGACATTACTAATTACGTAACTATACTTTCTGCTGGAGATGATATACATGAATACATGAGCCGTTTTAGGATATCAACTTCTTTTATTCTTTGTCATAACGTTTCAGAACAAGAGCTACTTCTTGCTACTTCATCAGCATTCACCTGATGACATCTTCCCGAGGCAAGGGAGTTAACTATAAAAGTCCAGTTTCCACCCTTGCCGATTTAGGCTGCAATTATGGAGTTACATTTTGGCTGGACTACGGGTAACGAGTCTATGCACAGTCTATGCACAGTCTATGCACAGTCCAATTAAAATCGTTTAACGAACTAGACATCATGGATTTCAACGTGCAGATTTCGGTTGACTGCAAGATTTGCAAAGCATGTGTACCGCCAACTGGGCGTGGACAGATATTTTGCAAATTCTTTCATATTTTTAATCAAGGTGCTTGCGTGATTTGATGAATTTCGCGGAGTAAACCCGTTTTATTTCAGAATAGATCTTGATCATCGAGCAGATCGTCATGACTAGGCGCCGCCATTTTGTTTGAAGCAAGTCATACGAGAGGTGGAATTTGACTGGTCAGTAGGAGGAACATAGAAGGGACATAACTCGTAATAGCCACTGGTGGCGCTACGATCGAACCTAGAAAAATGCAGTCTAGTTCGGCAAGGGTTGAAACTGGATTTTTAAGTTTATTATAACGCCCTTGCCTCGGGAAGATGACCGATGAAGGTGAAAGAAGTAGCACTGGGACGTCGTGACAAAGAATAAAAGAAGTTGCTATCCATAAAAAGTCTTATGTATTCATGTTCTTCAAACTTTTAAATGCCTATCAAAGACTTCATGATATACATGTACCTTTTTAATACAATATTTTCCCCCAAATTACCAAGTTTTTCCACGTGTTTGGGAGACACACTCCCAACGCTGACTGGTCCCATACGTCACCCCCCGTACATATACTCCTCAGTCCTCCTTTACACACAGAATACCCATCAAAGCAGGAATACGTCGCCACAGCCTTCTCATGCTGATATGAAATCTGTGCGAATAGCAAAATTCTCTCCTTCATAATCATCATCAACATTGTGTCGTCATTATTATTAATAAATACTATTACTAATTATTATTATTATTATTATTATTATTATTATTATTTACAGATTAAAATAGTAAAATGCAGCAAAGAGGGTGTGGGTGATCATGGCACCGTCAGGCTGGTGAGGCTCATCATCAGCTCAGGGCCCTTGCCCCCTCTACACGCAGCCCAGACAGCGAATGGGACTTCTCCCAGGAAGCGCTGCCTAGCCAAGCCCACACAGAACTTTTTGGAGAATGTGAAGACTCCCCAACACTGCAGCATTCTGCATTACCCATAAGCAAACCCGGGTACTCTCCCAATGTCAGTCAACCGATTGGTAGGTACCAAACCAAAGGCACCGAGAACAATGGGGAGTCGGACAACATGGTAATTGGGATGCAAGCGGGACATTTCGAAAGCGAGGTCCGCATACTTTCCATGTTTTTCCTCAATCTTGTCAATCAAATAAGTGTCAAAAGGGACAGAATATTCAATGATATAAATGATTTCATTGGATTTATCAAAAAGGACAAGAACATGTGTGTTTGTCTATATTGTTGTCATTATTATTATTACCTTTGCTGTGGCATATGCAACACCCGGTGGCGTTAGACAATCATATGGAACTGGCGCTGAAAGCAAGTTACAGGAGGTGTATAGACCCTTGGCAATATAACACCTTCATAAGCCATGGACAAAAAACTATGATTCCAAACCTTTCGGTCTTAGAAGTACAAGCATGTTACATCCAGACGCAGCTACCATATTTATCCACGTTAACACATCAGCATGGACAGAAAAAACAATCTCCAAAGCCATCGAAATCAGTCAGAACAGCATTTTATCAACACATGAGGTACAAGAAACAATGCACAGAGGTGAAGCGGGAGTTTTTTCACAATTTTCATTATAATGTTAACAAAATCACAAAGTTTCTTTTAGGTAGATATCTTATAGCAGTTAATAATTGCAGGAGTTAAAAATATAGTGTGACTGGAATTCATCTCCAAGGCATAACTATCACACACTTTACATAAATGTGCAATTAAACGGAGTTGTATTCCATTATAAGTGATGTCCAAAGTAATCCAATGTAATCTTTTGAGTGAGTGAGGTGGGTTTAGCGTCGCTTTGAACAATATTCCAGTTATATCACGGCATGTCAGCTTAATGTGGGAGGAAAGCCCGAAGTGATGCAGGTCTCAGACGTTTATCACTTTGGTAAAACCAACGAGCACAGGTATGGTGCTGACAAACCTAGAAACATAATCGGGGCGAACCGGGATTAGAACCCACAATAATAGGTTTCTGGCGTACCCAAAGGTTCCAATGATTATCATTATCATGATAATGATGATGTCACACTATTGTTGTTGTTGTTTTGTCTGAGCCAGGAACTCGCTGGCCATTCTGAATGTGCTTTTTATGCAGGTAAATCCATCTTTCCGAGGCAAGGGAGTTAACTTATTGTAAAAGTCCAGTTTCCACCCTTGCCAAACTAGGCTGGAATTATGGAGTTATATTTTAGCAGGACTAACGAGTCTGTGCATAGTCCAGTCAAACTCGCGTTACGAAATCGACATTTAGTTCGAAAACTGCCATTAACCTATGCTCGGAATCGAATCTGGGTCTTCGGTGTGACGAGCGAACGCTTTAACCACTGGGCTACCCACCCGCCCCCATTGTATTTAGGTAAACATAGTTGGATGATGTCTACAAAAATAAGATTTCTTTGTTTGTCTGGCCAAAGAAAGTATACAATCGGAAATTGGATTTGTCCAAAGAATTACAAACGTTACTACTACTACGTCGAAACTTTACTAGGCTGAAGAAAATTCACCAAAACACGACTATGATACCCGTTTAAAAGACATCCCCATCGAAAAATCGATTCGTGTTTGTTTCATGTTAAGACACCGCCTCTTACGCCTTGCAGTTTTGTTCTGATCGGACATAGGAAATGATTTTCCTGCTACAAATTGCCTGCATCAAACAATTCCAAGTAATTATCAATTTTCCATTTGGTCGATATTTGCTGTTGAGTTAAACGCAGTGAAGTTATATTTGAATCACATATTATTTGTCAGGGAACAAAAGTACAATGTTTAAATATGATCAAGTTTGCATACATTTATAAAAGATACACTTACGTGTTTCGTTTAATTTTGCAGTGATGGAAATGACGTCTGAAGCAAGGTTGCTTAGCGACTGATTCATGAACATCAGTTCCTCTCTACATCCACACTGCGGGGGCGTATTAGCTGGTGTTGCACTCGACGTAGTAGTTGTAGCTTCAGTTGTAGATGAAGTGGTAGTGCTTGGCGAGTATGTGGGCAGTGATGAGGATGTAATACTGGGCGTGATGGTTGGGGGAGCAGTTGATGTAGAAGTGGGTGTGGTAGTGGATGGAGTTGTTGATGTAGACGTGGGCGTTGTTGTAGGCGGAGCTGTCGATGTAGAAGTGGGTGTGGTAGTGGATGGAGTTGTTGATGTAGAAGTGGGCGTTGTTGTAGGCGGAGCAGTCGATGTAGAAGTGGGTGTGGTAGTGGATGGAGTTGTTGATGTAGAAGTGGGCATTGTTGTAGGCGGAGCAGTCGATGTTGAAGTGGGTGTGGTGGTGGATGGAGTTGTTGATGTAGAAGTGGGTGTGGTTGTTGGCAGAGCTGTCGATGTAGACGTGGGCGTGGTGGTGGGTGCAGTTGTTGATGTAGAAGTGGGCGTGGTGGTGGGCGGAGTTGTTGATGTAGAAGAGGGCGTGGTTGTAGGCGGAGTGGTGGTGGTAAGAGAAGGCGCCACAGGAGGAGCTGCAGTGATGAGATCGCGTGTTGCTGCAATTGCCAGGCTTGGCATTGACGTAGGGCGCGCCCCTGTAGATGTAGTCGCAGGTGCGGGGAAGATGTATGTGGGTCTCGTCGTAGCGCTTGCTGTAGGGTTTCCTGTGTAAACAAGATTGCTGTTTTGAAATTTGAAAGGGATTATCATCAATAAAATAAAAAATGATTTATGAATGATACGCCTGAAGCCTTAAATGGAAACACTGGTATAATTATTAAATAATTCACTTTTTCACGAGGAAAGACAAGCCTCCTCTTTCTTTAATTAGCTCTGTTTGGATAATATATATCGTCTCTCACACTATCGACCTCGTGTTTCTAAGATCCAGGTTCGATTCCGTTATTAGCCGATACGATCGGCTATGAAAAGCAGTCAAGCGTGATTAACTTTCCATAAATTCATCTACAAATTAACGCCCCCTCGTTCGTAAGCATATCGCGATCGGGCCGCGGTACAGTCGCGATCGGGTCGCGGTACGGTCGCGACCTGTGACTGGATCTGTCCAATCGGGAACATCGATTGTCATGACCCGATCGCGATGGACTTATGTTTTGAACATTAGTGTACCAGCAAGCTGCAGCGTCGTTGTGCTGCATGCACTTATTTCCGGGTAGAAGACCTCCCCTTTTGCACACTCCTTGATCGCCACCGTCCTCCCGCTCCGGCAGTGGAGGTGGAAGCGGGTGTAGCGCATGCTGGGGTACGGGACGTCGCCGTCGGGGAGCCCAACGCAGCTTGCTGAACACGGCATGCAGTACTGGGACTGCGAACAATCTTTTACTTTATATTCACCTGGAATAATAAAATGTGAACTGATAAAAGAAACGAAATTAAATGCGATATACATGATTATACAAACCATAAAGGGTGAAACGTTAAAACGTGTTTTTATTATCCAAAACTGGCTCCCAAAGGAGATATCGCTTGGGTGAGATCAAGCTATATCTACATTGTAGATATCGCTGCAATGAAAATGCACCACAATGTTTTGCGGACCGTTGTGACGTCATTGTTACATGACGTCACAATCAAATGACATCACTAATGGCGCGGCTACTGAAGCTGTTAGCAGTTCTTTTCACACTTAAGAGGCTGCGTATTACTGTCTACAAACTGAAAAAGTTGGAAGAATGATGTTGGATGATAAATAAAATCTCACCTTCTTGTCTTTTGATATCAAATATATCAACACTCGTTGATAAAAGTGGAAAACCTTTTTCCTCTTTTATAAACTCATGTTGATATATCTGATATCAAAAGACACTCGGGTGAGATTCTCTGTTTATATCGACCATGCTTTACCGCGATGAATTTGACAGACTAACGTTTTTGTCATTTTAGTTCTAATAATCTCATCGATATAATTATTTTGAGAACCAATATCCCGTAAACCAATACGACGGCATAGGCTGAATAGGGAACGTTACTTTTGTCAAATATACAACTCACACGGTGCTCTGGGTTCAAATCTATCGCCACACGGTACTGTAAGTTTGTCAAACATGACGCAGGAGCTGCTGCCGGCGTCGTAGAGGTGCATGTAGTCGCACTCCCTCTGGAACATCTGCAGCCCCATCTGATGTTGGGGGTTGGTGCAGTCGTAGGACTTGGCGCAGTCAGCAGGGTCGGGGAAGCGCGCCATCGGGTTCTTCGAGCAGAACGAGTTAATAGAATCTATAACAGAGACCAAAATCAATGTTGTAACAGCTTTCATGAGATATGCGAATGTTAGCAATTAACGTTAACATTTTTATTATATACCTGAAGGTGTTATCGATGCAATACACCAATAAATATGCAAATGAAATTTTATAGCGGCAACTATTTCTTTGCTGCATACATCTTTGCAATGTCTGCGTGCCCAATACGCTATTGACTAACGTGCATAATATATTCTGTGAGGGGTTTCACAAATTGTGGGTGATTCTGTAGACATACATGGCAGAATATTATTTGGCACTATCAAAAATAAGACGGTTCACTCAAACACTATATTCAGGAGCGGACATTATATGAGCAAGAAATTATTACCCTCGTATATTTCCGTAAAATAAATGTCATATATTAGGAATACAAAATAAGCATTACGATTGCCAGAGACTCGCATACCACATGTTTTACTCCAATTGTTATAAGAGTAACGCTATTTTTCAGGGCATTATCATTTGCAGAAGCCCGAGGTCTTTCATTAACTGCCCGCTCATGTCTGATAACCTGCGGGCGGTTTAATGATAATTCTATCCATTTTAGCTATAAATGATATTAATCATACGGAAACATATTCAGCTAACAATCTCTCTTCGTCATCCAAAACTCGCTTAAATGCCTTCACATGGGTGCGATATCGCTAAATACATCAATTACATAACAATGCTCTTTAGGTCATTGTGACGTCATCGGTAAGCATAGCATCTCAATCAAATGACATCACCAGTCTCTCTGCCACTGAAGCTGGTCACGGCCAACTTGCACAAAACGATCTTAGAGCTACGACTATTGTAAGCCTATGTTTAAGTATGGGAGTTCCGATCATCTAAGGGGTAAGATCGCTTTGTGCAAGTGGGCCCCGGTGTACCTTTTACAATCAAGGGGGCGGTCGGGTAACCCAGTGGTTAAACCGTTCGTTCGTCACGCTGAAGACCCAGGTTCGATTCCCGACATGGGTACAATGTGTGAAGCCTATTTCTGGTGTCCTCCGCCGTGATATTGCTGGAATATTGCTAAAAGCGGCGTACAACCATACTCACTCACTCACTCACTTTGTTAAGCGGTGTCGAAAACCAATATCTGATTTTAATGAGATTGTGAGTATACAGTCTTGGCATGGAGAGCGAAGGTCGGTGGTTCGCTCCCCGGCCGCGTCATAGCAAAAGCCCTTAAGAAATGGTAACTGTTGTTACCCTGCCTGACCCTCGGCATTAAGGGAACAAACAAGGACAGGTCGAGTGCGGAATCTATTTTGTTACGGATGATGGTGTCTCAGTGGGTGAGCAATATAAAACCATCGGGACAATTCCGGACTTGGACACAAACTAATGTTGCTATAATCCTGAACGTTAAGTTAACCCCATTTCACCTCACCTCACCTCACCTGTGAACAAGGGGATCCCTAAAGTCACGAATCAGCCATTATACTGTCAGCAGGCCCGCCAGTTAATCAGACAAGGATTGACAGAACGTCTCGCTTGTCGCCTAAAAACCCACCTTGTAGGATTGTTTGCAATTTGTCGACCACGTCACTTTTATCCATTTCAGATACTCGTGAGAATATGTTCACTGTTTAAACGTAAATACCTGCAACGCCCGGGGATATGAATGTGAATATTTACAACAGAATGAAACAGTTTGATGTCACAACAGATGTTTTGCAGCGTTACTCTGTCCCTCACTTCAGAGAATATATCAAAAAAGGAGTCCAATTCAAGTCTGGAATAAGTTAGCAAGTCTAGATTGCATTAGCTCTAGGCGCTGCCATCAAGTTGTTTTGACTCCATTTGAAGGGTTTTTTTTATTTTGTGGATATATATTTTCAAACGAGATAATTTTACTTCTTGGACTAAATGTTAGTCTAGATGTACTATAGTGAGATTAATTACTTAATAACTCAAGTGTCTCAGTTCTATGTATTTGTCGCTAATATATGAATTGTGTAGCAGATTATATATGGTGTCGAGCGTGTATAATCCCGATGTGAGTGAGTTTTGTTAAACACCGCTTTGAACAGTATTCCAGCCATATCACGGCGTGTCAGCTTGATGTGAGGGAACACCGAAATGATGCGGGTCTTCGACGTGTATCAGTGTGTTGAACGAGTGAGTTAGGCAAACACCAAAGATCAAAATCGGTTCTGGTTTCGAAACAAACATTGACTGAAAAAGAAGTAGTATTCTATAAATATCTCGGCTGTTTCAATCAGGCTACGAATCAGAATGGTGTCATTTCCAATTCTTCAATACAATAATTAAGATAGGGAGTTGTAATGTCACCGTCGACGAGGAGGCTGTCCCATTGAAAGAAGTGGAGGCAGGTTTTCACCAACAAACGGATACTTTATATTCGGGTCAATCCAGTCGAGCCATCTTGTCATCGCCGAGTGGGTTGGTTGGTTGGTTGTTTAATGCCGCACTCAGCAATATTCCAGCTATATGACGGTGGTCTGTAAAAAATCGAGTCTGTAGCAGACAATCCAGTGATTGATATCATGAGCATCGATCCACGCAATTGGGATCGATGACAGTGCATCAACCAAGTCAGCGAGCCTGACCACCCGATCCCGCTAGTCGCCTTTTACGACAAGCATAGTCGCCTTTTATGGCAAGCATGGGTTGCTGAAGACCTATTTTACCCCGGATCTTCACGGGTCTCGCCGAGTGGGAACAATCTGTCATTTGGCTGAGATACGTCCATACAACAGTGGCGAATTTAAATTCGTTGAACCGTGTTCATGGGCAGCTAACCTATTTTCGATCACTCGTACCTTGGGTGTCATGTGATACACGCATCGCTTCGTTGTGCAATCACGCAAACCGCTTATTTATACATCAAGTGTTAGGATGTGTTGTTAATGGCTTAATTTAAATTTAATAAGAGCTTGAAATGTGAAATAATTAGACACTTTAAATACTTCAATTTAAAAGCATAAGAAATGGAGAGTTGGCTATGTTAATACAAGGAAAAGGATAACAGGTGAAAAAAGGACATATTAGTGTTTTAACAGTGCAGTTAAAATTCATACCAAAATTAAGTGAAAGAGAAAATTATGAAGATATGAAAGACTTCGACTTAAGAAGTGTTCAATGCATATACTAATCATGTGCTCAAGTTTTGAACAAATTTATTTCACTATGATCACCAGAAAACATACATCCTTGTCTCATCTTGCATTTCAATGCATCTCATCTTGGCTGCCTTATTAGATTTGTGCTGAAAATATACTCGTGTGGTTATACTCGCTAGTCCATGAATTTAACCCCTTTCTTTCATTTTTATTTGTTTAAAGTTGTATTTACACCTTGATATACATGTACAAGTCCAAAAGCTGTATACATGAACTGTTAACTCAAATGCAAAAAGTTTTGTTTTTTTATGGCAAGCATGGGTTGCTGAAGACCTATTCTACCCGGGATCTTCACGTGTCAATATCAGTTTAGTTTACAATGTTCTCATGAAAAGTTTCGTTAATTTTTTTTGGAGATTTGCTAAACTATACATTTTTGGAAAGGTTAGGACCTACTGAACCTGAAAACCAATGTTCCCATTTTTTTCAATGTCTCTATGGCGGCCATCTTGGAATTTCAAAATGGCGTCTACCAATAACTGGTTTTCTACTATATTTCAAAAGATAAGTCAACTTAGCTTGTAATTTTCTTGGCTAATTCTATATTTTTGAGACAATGAACACACTGGAAATACTTGCAGCAATATGGAAAAGATTTAAAACAAATTAGGCGAAAAAGTGGCTCCTTAAGGGGTAATTTTGCATTTTAGTAACAGGTAACAAGTAGGAAAGGTGATTCTTCATGTACTTATTTTTAATGAGGGTTAAATCATAATTTCAGCAGGTTCGTCACTTAAAAATGTTGTAAAGGTAAAATAGTGGTAAAAATGTTGGCAAAACATACATATATGTATGTACTTGTGAGGTCCCAAAAAGGGTAAAATAAGAAATAACTTGTTAATGATAATTCTAATCTGGCTTCCCATGGGCCATTTTTGTCTATATTATTTGAAATTATGATTACGTCTTTGAATCCAATGCAATCATGTCAGATACTGCAATGAAACAATGCATCTAACCTAAATGTGGGCTCCTGAAGGGATTAACTTATTGCTGAAAAGAAGCAGGTGGTATGATATTTGAGTTAGCCTAGGACTGGTAGCTTCTGAGTGTTTGACTCCTTGTATGTCTTGTAGAAGTGTATATTCCAGCTAACCACGGATAGATTTATAAATGAAAAAAAATCAGGCTGCTAGGTAATGCATGTTTGCTTTGTGGCACATCGGTGTTGTTATTGTAGGATTGCTGTACCTCTCAAACCAGTAATTCATCCAGCAGACAGTGTAATTAGAACATTAACAATTAGATCCCTACCAGACCTTGTTGTTAGCAGTAAAGGAGCGAGCATCACTGCAGGATGCCGAATTCATCGTAATTAACAAGAGGCAACTAAACTGCACAACAGAGACTCTGAGGAACAATGAGGCTAATTGGCATAGGACTTGCTACTCTAATGCCACTTGCAACGTGCTAGAGATCACTCCCAACGTTCATTGTCTACTGGATCACATATCCATAGGGAACGGGGGCATCATTCAGGCGTTGATACAAGTGAACCATCAACTTCTGCTGCGGCAACAACACAGTCAGCGACACGACCGCTGGACAGAGACTTGTGGGTTTTTTCTATCAAAAGGGGTTGTGACCAAACGTTGTGTGCAGTTAGAACAGAGAATGCAGGTCAAGCTCTGAAAAAAAGATGAGTTCCTCTCCTCCAATCCAGAACTTAAAACTAGACTTGCATCTTCAATCGCCGAAGGAGATGCCCACTCTGTTGATGTCCAATATCACAAAGATTGTTGGACACAACATGCATTTCATGTTCTGAGAGATGAAGCCACATCTAGCAAAGGAGATGAGAAGCCTGGGTGTCCATTACAAATTGCAAGTTTCATTGAACTTGTGGACTCATTGATGTACAAACCAAACGTGGTGCTTATCTTTCCATCGCAGACACCAGAATACCTATGTGAATACGTTAGGAGGAGCACACGCTTTAGCAACTCAAAAACCTCCTTATACTAGAAAATGGCTGAAAGGCAAGATATTGTCTCAATTACCAAGTGTTAAGTCCGCTCTGCAAAGCAATAGAAGAAAACCATCTCTCTTGTACTGCCCAGATGCCTTGGAGGTGGAGATGATACAATGTGCAATAACTTCTGATGACACAGACAACATGAAGATGGTCTACAGGTATACACAGCTGTTCGTCAGAGTATTGCAGAATTCACTAAGAAAGAGCAGTCACAAAATTGCATTGCCGTTTCCAGCAAAATAGAAGATGTGCCCATGGAGCTGTATACACTTATCCGCTTGATTATGGCAGGGCCTGCAGACAAATTAGAAACTGAAGTCAGAACACATGTAGTAGATGGAGCTACCCTCACCATCAGTCAAAACTTGATGTTTGGTTTCAAATCCAAGAGGCAGGTGACATACCAACCAAAAACTGAACAATTAGGATTTCGATCCCAGCATGCAAGAGAAAATCCTCAAGTGGTGGTTTGGTTGGTTGGTTTGTTGTTTAACGATGCACTCAGCAATATTCCAGCTATATGACGGCGGTCTGTAAATAATCGAGTCTGGACCAGGCAATCCAATGATTGACATCATGAGCATCGACCCACGCAATTTTGATAACATATGCACAAACATGGTAGTACAGGAACTGGCATTAGAGCAATTCCTGGAGGATAACCCTCATCTGAAAGTGGTGTGCATTGAGGCAACGGCACATGAAGAAGATGCAGTCCAGGACAAACATACGAAGGCCGAATATGTGAAGCAAGCCAATGCTCATCTGTTGCAAGTTTTGACTCAGGAGGATCTGGTGAAGAAGCTTCAGGATTGAGAAACAGATAAGTCAAAGAATGCTATGTTTAGATCATTAATGAACTCCCTGCATCGTGTAGACATGCGGTGACAAGTCCAAACTCATACATGTCCTAGAGAAGCTGGTATCTGAGAAAACAGTACAAGGGGACTCTTTGACAGATGAAGAGGCCACTGAAGTGGCCCATCACAGCAAGCAGATTGCAGTTGTAGACGGAATGGTACTTGTCCAGAAGCTGACTAAGAAACCAGCAACAATGGTAACAGTGAGAGATCTGAGCCAGGTTCTCTATGAAAAAATGATGAATATTTTGATGAGATTACTCTTGTATTTGACACCTATAAATCTGATTCCCTGAAGAGTACAACCAGGGAAAAGAGACGCCATGGTCAGGACCCAGTTCAGTACCAAGTCAGAGATGAGACGAGTATAAAGCACATAACGATGGGCAGATTCCTATCACATGACAAGACCAAAGCAGATTTGACTGTGTACTTGGAGAAAAAGGACTCTATGATGTCAAACTATCAGAAGATCTGATGACAAGTTTGACTAGGTTTGTGTGTTCTGTTAATTGCCGACAGGAATCAAAATTAGCAACATTGCGATGGCACTTATTCTGCAAGTACATTGCGGACAGTGATAAACTGCCACCCACAATCGGTGCCCTTAAACAGCATATAATGAGGGTACATGTACAGGCTCGAGTTTGGGGCCAGGCAAGCATTGAACAACAAGTTCTACTGGATCCGATGCAATATGGCTACCACAAGGACGTCGGAGGTCAGCACTTAGACCGACTACCACTGATGTTCTTCCTGCACCAAAGGCCATTATCGAGATGGCGAGATGCCAAATGCAAAGGAGATTGTTCGTCACAAAGGTGTTCTTGCAGGTCAAAAAGCTGAAAGTGCACTGAACTCTGCTTATGCACTACCCAGTGTGAAAATGATGAAGACTCACGTACTGAAAACCGGAATTCGGATGACAATGATGATGAAAACAATGATTGATACATTATAATGACAATCATAAACTGTGCCCATAGTTGATGTTGATTTGAAGTTAAACGAAGATTGTGTGATAGAGGTGTCAAGATGTTAATCGCAAGCAGAGACACTATTTCAGTATATTTGTTGTACATTTTAATATTTTTGTGGTTAAAAAATGGTTATTGATAATAAATATCTGACTTTACATTTTACTCGCGATCGGATGATTGTTGTTAGTCTGAGTGGATTCCTGTTGACTTAAATCATATGTTTATTCAGCAATACTTACAATATGTGTGGCCTAGAGGCAGAGTTATCGAGCAAGTTTTGGTTTTTGTGGTCGCCATTTTGAAAATCCAAGATGGCCGCCATTAAAACCCTGAAAAAAATGGGAACATCAGTTTTCCTATTCACTGTATCCTAACAATTCTAAAAATATATGGTTTAGCAAATCTCCAAAAAATTCCAACGAAAATACATAAGGAACTGGACTATATGTATATCGATCTCAGTGTTTATACGCTCGCTGACTTGGTTGATACATGTCATCGATCCCAATTGCGTGGATCGATGCTTATGATGTCAATCACTGGATTGTCTGGTCCAGACACGATTATTTTACAGACCGCCGTCATATAGCTGGAATATTGCTGAGTGCGGCGTTAAACAACAAACCAACCAACCAACCAGTGTTTATACACCTGTCATTACACTAATTACAAAGGGAGCAGGAGGCACAGTTACTCTTCAAATTATCAACCCACAATTCTCTTCATCGCACATTCCGGGGTAGAATAGGTCTTCAGCAACCCCTGCTTTCCGTAAAAGCTGACCATGCTTGTCGTAAAAGGCGACTAACGGGAGCGGGTGGTCAGACTCGCTGACTTTTTTTATGCATGTCATCGATCCAAATTGCTTGGATCGATGCTCATGATATTAATCACTGGATTGTCTGGTCCAGGCTCGATTATTTACAGACCGCCGTCATATAGCTGAGTGCGGCGTTAAACAACAAACCAACCAACCGAATCTTCATCGCTTTTTTTTCTCCACAAACTCGCAATATGGGTGAAATAATGCCGATGCGGCGTTTAATCAGAAATCACTCACTCACTCTCCACACACAACCTTACCTTGAATGGCGTTAGAACATACGGACCATTCCGGGTCGAATACCCAGCCCTGCTTATCGCACGTGAGGGTGTTGAGTGTCTGACCCCCTGCACACATTATGTAGTGTTTGGAGAACGGGGTGCCTGGAGCGGGGTGGCCTCCGTTCGCCAGGGTCGCGCAGGGGTCGACAGAGCGGCTGCACTCCGTCACGTAATCACCTGGATACAACGACGATTTGTTAAAGATGTACAAGTATCTTAGTTGCTACATAAGGCATCCTTTTTTATATTTCCTTTTACCTGCTTGATTTGCCAAAATAGACGATAGTTACCAGGCGGCTGGGATTTTTTAGATGGACCCAGAAAATTCTTGAAAACAGTACCAATGCTTCAGACAGTTAAAAGACTACCCCCACTACCCCTCCCCCATCCGACATACCCCTTACATGTCTGTCTAATATATTTCAGAATGATGCGGTTACTGTACAGAACCTGGTGGCTTAAAAGAAATCGTTATTCGACGGTGATGTATCTAATGCGGGGGTATCATAGTTGCGTTTTGGACCTAAGTTTCAGTGTTGCGATGACTGTTTTCAACCTAGAAACGTTTTGATAACGTTTGTAATTATTTGGTCAAATTTAATTTTCTAGTGTATTTTTTCTTTTGCCCTGCAGTTACACATAGATGGAGTAAGATGGACAGATACTTACAGCGAGCTGGCTTATTCCTACACGTCGCCGAGTTTTCCCGACAACCACCGGAAGCCGGGTCGAACAGAGTGGGGTATTTACACTCGTCTTCATACAGGAGCAGGCCAGCCTTGGGGGTAGTGCCCGACCCCCGGGAGCAGTTGTAGAACAGGGCACAGCTGCCGGGGTGGTCGAACACCAACTGGGGGAACTTGACGCACCATTTGGAAGCCACCTCTGACAGAACATCAAACGTTTCAGGTGGCATAAAAATGGCAGCCTTAAAAATCAGACAATTATCTAGTAATTAAATCTAATTATTTAAATCATCGTAATGTTTATGATCCTCTAATTGCATTATACACACATTCAAAGTCTCCTGTCCCCATTTAACAAATAGTTAACTTGGATATGTCTTGGATTTATAAATGTTCTACTTTTCAATTGTCTCATTTATGATGTTAATGCACGTGAGTGAGTTAATATTTAACATCGCATCGGCATTGCTTCAGATTGAGTGAGTGAGTGAGTGAGTGAGTGAGTGATGCTTGATGCTTTCAACAATATTCCGGCAATATCATGGCGCGGGACACCAGAAGTGGGCTTCACATATTGTATCCAAGTGGAGAGTCGAACTCGGGCCTTCGGCGTGACGAGCGAAAGTTTGAACCATAAGGCTACCCCACCGCACCTTACTGCTTCAGACCCAAGGCGACAGTCTGATGAAAGGATATCAAACATTTCAGTAGGCATAACATCAGACTGTGTATATACATACATCTCTGTTTCTATTTGTATCTCTGCCCCAAGTGTCCCAGCTGAGAATATTATTTAAATAATAATTCGAAAATAATGAGTGGACTATTCTGTTAATAAATAATAAATGCTTGTAGTTGGGAGCCTAGAGGGTAAAGGGTCCACATGCCACCGGACACCCGGGTTCGAATCTCACGTGGAATCAATATGTAACGACGTTTCTTGGTTTGTGCCGATCCACTAAGACCCGTGAAGATGCGGGGTAGAATAGGTCTTCAGCAACCCATGCTTGCCGTAAAAGGCGACTATGCTTGTTGAAAGAGGTGACTAACGAGATCGGGTGGTCAGGCTCGCTGACTTGGTTGATGCATGTCATCGATCCCAATAGCGTGGATCGATGTTCATGATATCAATCACTGGATTGTCTGGTCCAGACTCGATTATTTACAGCCTGCCGTCATATAGCTGGAATATTGCCAAGTGCGGCGTAACACAACAAACCAAACGAAACCAATCCAAACCCGATCCACAATGGCTGGAATATTGTTAAAATCGGCGTAAAAGACGCCTCGCTGTTGTATACCAGTACTTCGTATTTGTTTAACTTACGCGCCATCTTTGCAGCATTACACGACTCGGAGTCCCATTCACAGGTCCTGGAGCTCATGTCAAAGCTGAGCCCGGGGGGACAGTTAATCCACCTCGCCGGCCCCAGGTGGGCGTTGCTGCAGTGCAGGTACCCGCTACAGTCCCAGGGGATCATGGAGTAACCTCCCTTGGCTTGACCGCAAAACGTATCTTTGATCCAATTGGGCATAACTCCATTCTCACGTGACCTTACCGGTGTGAATATAAGCATACACGTCACCACCAGAACACACGTTGTCAGCGGCGTCATGTTCCTGCAAGTGGTATATCACTTCGGGGTAAAAAAAACAACACACTTTTCATGTATTAGAGATTATTATATTTGAGATTAAACGCCGGAGGTAAAGAGGGTCTGAAAGAAATACATGTCAGGGCGTTTAATCGAGCAAATACGGTACATGAGCCATTAACTGGGTGTACGATATTTTACGAAATTATTATTACATGTCCACAACTTTTCGGTGAAATATGTTTGTGTAGCAAATCTATCTTACGAACGCCATGGGGTTAAGTATGGTTTCTCAGATGCATTGTTTTCGCGACTTGACCATAGGCGGCCGGTCATAATAATATAAACTCCGGTCAATAATGACGAAAAAGTGACGCCATAATGAGAACTATGACGTCATGATATCCGTACATAGAGAATACCATTCGTGACCGACTCGTATTCTTCCGAAGCAAGCCGAAATGCGACTCGTGCCCCACTCGTAAGCTGGTTCCCTGCTCACTATGCGCGTCGTCAACAGTGAGATGATAGACGCGGCCCAGCTAAGCCCCACCCGTGGTCCTTTTTTTGCGACTGGGTTCCGTCTAAGCGCAAACGGGCATAGCTCAAAGAATTGTCAGCTCGTTGCGTCATGATTCACGTATTTATCATATACTTAAGTATGAAAGACTGAGTTTTCCGAAGTCGAGAAAAGCAATTTTCATTGCAGTGAAAAATTTAGATTTCACTGCAGTGAACATAACACTTGATATTTCACTGCTGTGGACATAACACTTTGACGAGACTATTGTCATACACGAGTGACCTCCCCTCAAAAAGTCTCCCGTTATCATAAGTGTCTGGCCCGTCCACAAACTACTGACTTCCATTTAACGTTTACTTAGTTCCACATTGACAAGGCAAAATAGTTACAGATGGTCATTTATGGAGTTAATATCGCTCATGCCGTTTGTTGGTCTCTTGAAAATGTTTCGTTCTAAACTGTACATTTCTCTTTGAGCTCGTCAATCGAGACTGTTCGTAACATTTATGTTACCTGACCGACGTGTAGTCTTTCGCTTCCAACAGCGGTCTCGAAGTTTTCAAGAATATTTTTTGTTAGTTAAAGTTGATTTTGTAAATAATCATATCTTCATGTATAGTATGTATTTATAGCTGGAATATTGCTGAGTGTGGCGTTAAACAACAAACAAACTTGAACCTAGTACATGTACAGGCATAGACATGTAAATCTGATTTTAATAGAAATGTACTTTTCACAGCAAACATATCAAAAATACAAAGTCAGATGAAAGAATAGATAGAAATGTTTTTACAGATAACATTAGAAATGTAATTCACACCATTTTGCATGACCACGTGATAAGATCCTGTCAGAGCAGCATAAACATGACCTATTGTTACAACAAGTTGATGTCAACGTTCCACGCATCATCTGCCCCAGTGAGGACAGTGCTGGTAATATACAGCAAATGACCGATATAGCGGGGCGGTTAAGGCTGGATTTTGTCAAAATTGTGCACTTTGGGTTAAAAGCACCAAACTTGGCACACTTATACATTGAACCATTCCTAACATTTCTGGATATGGATCAGCAGCGCCACCAAGTAGCCGCCAAAATGGTTAAAATCTCATATGATGTCAATTTATATTCAATATATCCTAATTATTTTGTCAATTTTAGTCATTTATGCAAACCTAATTGCAACAATATTGTATATAATTCAAATCTAATAAGCAGCGCCCTCTGGTGGCGAAGAAAATCCAAGATGGCCGCCAAAATGACTTTATCTTTTAAAATGTCAAATGTTTGTCCACAATATCAGTATCATTTGTTCATTTCAATCATTTCATCACATGTTGTTCTTTTGACTGAAGAAAGCACACAAACAAGGTAAACCATGAGTAAAACTAGCCATATCACATGAAGGAAGTACTGGGGAAACAAGACAAACATATCCTCCAACCACAATTGCCAAAATGCCAAGAATTCAAGAATGTGCACAGTCTGTTGCTATGATACAGCATTCAATTAATGTGATAAAAAAAGGGTATTGAACATTTGAAACCTGGTCAGATGCATGTGCTTGCCTCGGATGAACCAATACACATAATTGCTAAAACAATCCAGTGGAACTGTCCTGAATTATATGATGAAGTTCCTTATCATGTTTGGTAAATTTGCATATTGAAATAGATGTTTTCAGGATTCTCAGAAACTGTCCCGACGGAAGTAGATGGAAAACTGCAATCTGTGTTGCTGGAATTGCCTCAGGCAGATTTGCTGATTCCTTCATCATAGGTACCCACACTGCTACAACATCAGGCACATGAGCAGTGTAAGGAAACAGAAGCGAACACAGAAGATCCTTTCAGAAACTGGTGTGCACCGACGTAAGCTGACCAGACCCTGTTTCACTACCGGACCCTTGTTCTTGAACAAGAACTTTGCATATTGTGCTTGATGAGTGCAATTCAAAGAGCAGATTTCCCAAAGTTTGCAGCATCACTTGTCATATCAATGGTTTGCATTTCTCAGATATGTCCCCCTTACAGTAGAACACACGCACCGCTGTGCCACGAATATTGTTTGGATTAGTGACATACTCGACGAACATTCTCTGGTGCGGCACAAGATCAGACACATGAACAATTCAATGGCCGTATAAAGGGGATGGAGGGGCCGTTGGATTGACTGAAACAGCCGAGAATTTTCTTCTAGAGGCCCACGGAACGGAATTCAAAGACATTGTCACTATTTCATGCTTTTACCGGTTCATATGCTTGGGATACGTGTCAAGTATTTCCAGAGGTCACCGATGCTTTCCCATCATCAGCAGATGTCTTTCACAACACAATGCAGATTCTTGAGCGGTTTGTCGTTCTCACTGGTTTATTTGGAAGGTCAATGAAAGTCAGAATCTCTCTTCATGAAGATCTCAGACATTTGACAACATTTCACCCAAAGAGGCAGCTCTAAGACAGCACGTGTGTGCATGTGTGGGGACAGGTGCTTGACAAGCGTCTCACACTACAGACTCTTGTTGTCAGGGGAGAGGACATACAATAATGTATGGAAACCCAAGTGGACAACACTTGGTCAGGCACAAAGAAGTGTTATCAACTAACACTACACCTGTAAGAAGTCTTGCAAACCTTAGTAAACTTTACACTTGCGGTCTTGAGTGCAGTGCTATGTGATACTTCGAAGAAAAGTGTTGATTGTAACTGAATTATAGAACCGTAAACACATACATAGAACCGATATCCCTGGTCGTACTTAAGTAGAAAGTAAGTTGAGTGAGTGAGTGAGTATGGTTTTACGCAGCTTTTAGCAATATTCACGGCGGGGGACACCAGAAATGGGCTTCACACATTGTACCCATGTCGGGAATCGAACCCGGGTCTTCTGACTCTTCAGCGTGACCAGTGAATGCTTTAACCACTAGGCTACCCAACCACCCGTGGAAGTAAGTTGATATCATAGGATCAGGGCAATAATGTCAATAATACTTATACATACATTCCTGTTTTTAAGAAATGAATCCATTCCCATATTAGTGCCTATGGGGTGATACAATAAATTGGATACAGTTCACTTTATTCAGGAAGAGATGCCTTCATTAAATTGTCCTCTAGAACACGACATATTGAAAAAAAAAATAACTAGGTAGAATATTTCTCAGTAGACCATTTATAAAATAATATGCTAAGCCATCATACGGATAGATCATACACAATATATATAAATTGATACAATGTCATTTAAAAATCATATCAAACTTATCAATTTATCCTAAGTCCAAAGATGTCAAATGATACCTATATCTGCTGCAGAAATAGACAATTTCTGAACACTGAAACATATTGGAGGCTATCTTGGATTTTCGTCATCAAGAGCGGGCGCTGCATACCAGATTTGAATTTTATAAAGCTTTGTTGCAATTGATCCTGAAAAAGATACTGTGATAAATTGTATGAATTGACCAGATAATTAAGATATAATGAGTATAGATTAGTCATTGGAGATTTCAACCATGTTGGCGGCCATCTTGGACTTGCATCACCACCAGGGGGTGCTACATACTAGATTTGAATTATATACAGCATTGTTGTGTTTACTCTTAAATACATTACAATGGTAATTAGTATAAATAGATCAGACAAGTATGATATATTGAATATATGTTGATAACATTAGAAATTTGAGCCACGTTGGCGGCCATCTTGGATTTTCTATCACCAGGGGCCTCTGCTGAGGTGGATCCATTTCCAAAAATCTTCGGAATGGTTCAATGTATAAGTGTGCCAAGTTTGGTGCTTTTAACCCGAAGTGCAAAATTATAGGCTTAACCGCCCCACTATTATAAGTCTATTTGTGTACAAAACCAGAGAATCCAGTGATCGATAATGTGCACGATGGTTTCTTGTTGTTACCCTGTCTGGCGCTCGGCATAAAGAGACTAAAACAACGACTGGTCGGCTCGGAGTCAGTATATTGTGTCTGAGTGGGATATTCATGTTGAAAAGTAGCATGGGCTAGCACTATAAGTTAGTTAGTCGGGACCAGTACAAAAAATCAACCCCCCCCCCCCCCCCCCCCCCCCCCCCACACACACACACACACACACACATAAGTGCAATAATCTTGAACGCGACGTTTTCACGTCACCTCACACACAACCATAGGATTCAATACGGGAATTTTGTATTTATGCAGAAGTGACAAATAATTATCGACCGGTATGCGCGATTTCCGGGCTAAAAAGGTCGAGATTAAAGTGCTTTACAGTACAACTCGGACATGAATACCGCAACCTGTCCTAAATGGATCAAGAGTTACAACAATATATTGAATAAGGTATTGAAATATGATATTTAATTAAAACCGGATTTTATTACAATGAGATTATTGAAAAACTCAATAAAACCCTTACCTCTTTCACAAAACGGTAATCCACGGTGGAGGGAGTCCCTCTATGTTGCTGATGTTGTG